GCTTGCACATCCCTTGCTTTAAAGCAGGGGTCTTCAAACTTGGCTCTTTTATGACTTGTGGACTTCACCTCCCAGAATTCCTCAGCCAGTGACCCCCGGGACACTGCAATCCCTGTCGTAAATATGAGTCAGTGGCCAAGCGTCCGAATTTTGATCACGTGATCATGGAGAGGCTGCAACAGTCATAAGCGTAAAAAAAAAAAAAAGTCATAAGTCACCTGTTGTAACTAAAGGAACGGTTGTAAGTCAGGGACCACCTGTACTTGCATTGATGTGTGTCATGTGTCACCCTGATAGGTGGGCATCGCTCTGAAACCGTTCCTGCCTCAGCTTCAAACCACCTTCACCAAAGCCTTGCAAGATCCCAACCGGGTGGTCCGCTTAAAAGCCGCCGACGCCCTGGGGAAGCTGATTGCTATTCACGCCAAGGTGGATCCTCTCTTTACCGAATTGCTGAACGGCATTCGCACCAGCGAAGACTCTAGCATCAGGCAAGTGACTGAGCGGGCCCAGGGGGGGCTGATGCCGCCTCCTTCTCCTCTTTCCTCCATGGGTTTCATTCTGGAAAGTGCATTTTAGAAGAGGGTAGAATAACAAGAGTTGGAAGGGACTTTGGAGGTCTTCTAGTCCAACCCCTGCTCAGGCAGGAGGCCCTGTACAGTTTGAAGCAAGTGGCTGTCCAGTCTCTTCTTTAAAAAGTCCAGTGGTGAAACACCAACAATTTTTGAAGGCAAAGCTACTGGTTAATTGTTCTGTCAGGAAATTCCTCCTTAGTTCTAGGCTGCTTCTTTCCTTGATGAGTTTCCACCCGTTGCTTTTTGTCCTGCCTTCAGGGGCTTTGAAGGATAGCTTGACTCCCTCTTCTTTGGGGCAGACCCTGAGATATTGGAGCGCTGCTATCCTGTCACCCCTCGTTCTTCTCTTTATTAAACTAGACATACCCAACTCCTAAACTCCTGCTTTCTACCCTGGTGCCTTAACCACTAGAAAGATTTATACAGGTGCCTCTGACTGACTGACTGACTGACAGCCACAACATTGGGATTAGAATTTCCGTTGCTAAGCAAGGCCATTTTTAAATGAATCGCCCCCAATTTCACTGCCTTTTTTTTTTTTTTTTGGCCTGGATGTTAAGCACTCATTAAGCGAATCCAGCTTCCCTCATTGACTTTGCCGGCTGGGAAGGTTGCAAACGGCGATTAAATGGCGACCTGGGGATTTTGCAATTCTCATAAATAACAGTACAACGCAAGAGGTGCTTCTATTGCTCGTTCCCTTGTTTTTAACTCCTGCTGACTTTTCTGCTTTCTCTCTCCTTCTTGGGGCTTTTCAGGGACACCATGCTTCAAGCTTTGCGGTTTGTAACCCAGGGGGCAGGAGCCAAAGTGGATGCTCCTGTTCGGAAGAGCATCATCACCGTCCTTCTCAGCATGCTGGGCCACGAAGAGGTATCCACGCTTGGTGGAAGCTTATGGGTTGCAACCCTCACCAGATGATAGATGGATGGATAGATAGATAGATGGATGGATGGATGGATGGATGGATGGATGGATGGATAGATAGATAGATAGATAGATAGATAGATGATTGATTGATTGATTTCTTTATTGGCCAAATACACAAGGAATTTGTCTCCTGTGCAGAAGATCTCAGTGTACATACAAGCAAGTTTTCACCGCCGTATTTCTGGCTTGTGTGGTATACAGATCCTCAGTGGAAGGCAGACTGGTTGCAACTGTTTTTTTCTGCAGCCCTAACTATCATTCATAATTCCATATTTTATATTTATATAAAATTTATCTCGGAAAGCTTACATTATAAAGAAATCAGGGGTGAAAATTTTTCTGGCTGGTAACCTTTGTTGTGAATGGAAACATTCTCTTTGCTTTTTTTTCCTTGCCAGGATGCGACTCGCATGGCCTCAGCGGGTTGCTTGGCCGAAATGTGTGCGTTTCTGACAGACGAGGAACTCGGCGGCGTCCTCCAGAATCATCTTCTTGGTGGGCTTTGGGGGGGAAATTCCCCAGAGGGGCTGAAGGGACATTATTTTCTGTCACGATGGGTCGTCCTCAACTTAATGACCACAATGTGACCAAGAAGTGCAGTTATTTAGTGAACTGCACCCCTCTTTACAAGCTTCTTTGCTCTAGTTGTTCAGTGAATCCCAGTAGTGGCATAAATCAAGCTATTGTTGAGCAGATCCAGCTTGCCCCATTGACTTTGCTCGTCAGAAGCCATCTGGGTCACAATTCCCCGTCGTAAATGCGCACCGGTTGCCAAGTGCCAAATTGCACAATTTAGAATAGAATAGAAATGGAAATAGAAATAGGCTGGGATGAGGGACCATCTTTTTTTCGTCCCACAGCGGACGTCTCTGGCATCGACTGGATGGTGAGGCACGGACGCAGTCTGGCCCTCTCGGTGGCTGTGAACACGGCGGCCAGCAGGCTGTGTGCCCCCAAGTATTCGAACAGCGTCCACGAGATGATCTTCAGCAACACGGTCGCTGACCGGGTAAATCTCTCCATCTGGGATTTTGGCTTCTGCTTTCTTCTGCTTTTGAACACTGCATCCCAATCTCCTGCATTTTCTGGAGGCCCAAGACTTTTGCCCAGGAGTATATTTACTGTTGATTTTTGCAATAGTGTTGCCTGATCTTGGATTCTGCTGGAGTCTGATGGCTTTTTGCTTCTCCGCTGATTTCTCTGGCTGCAGATCCCCATTGCTATTGCCGGCATCCGAGGAATGGGCTTCCTCATGAAGCATCACATAGAAACCAACGGAGGGAACTTGCCCCCGAAGCTCTCCAACCTCTTCATCAAGGTAAGGTGGCAGCCCCTTGATGGGCTGGCTTGAATTCAGATGTCTCTACACCCCGATTCTCTTGAAACGGGATTGTGTGTGTGTGTGTGTGGACTCGATGACCTTCAAGGTCCCTTCCAACTCTTGTTGTTCTAAATATTTTATTAAGGAGCATGGTGCCCCCTCTTCCTTTTCAACTGACTCAGAATCACTTACGCCGCCCTTCCTCTTAGATAAAGAATTAGGATTAGACGTTCTGATATTGATCAATAGATGGTCCTTGACTTAGCGGTCACAATGGGGTCCCCAAATTTTCACGGCTTTCCCCTTTGCTTGTCTCAGTGTCTTCAGAATCCATCCAGCGACATCAAACTGATTGCAGAGAAGATGATTTGGTGGGCCAACAAAGCCCCTCTCCCCTCCTTGGACCCTCCTGTGGCCAAGCCCATCCTCAAGGCGCTTCTGGACAACACGAAAGATAAGAACACCAGCGTCAGGGCTTACAGTGACCAGGCCATTGTCAACCTCCTGAAGATGCGAGAAGGCGAGGAGATGCTTCAGGTAATGGCCTGCCTTAGGTGACCGGGGGGGGGATGGAGCCAGAAGCGATGGGAGAACCGAGCCTGTTGCACTTTACTTTGTGATGCGTGTCACTTCACAAAGTGTGTGGTTGGGATGTAGGACTAGAGATGGACTCATTTGCTGGATTCAGAATGGCAATTATGTCATCCCTTCTCTTAGACTGTGGGAAGGCAGTTTTCAGGCTAGGCTTGCAAAGGGTTGATAATTTACATTTCATTTAATAACATACTGATAGAATGTGTGATATAATAATACTATTCATAATTTAGTGAAGAGAGAGCCAGTATGGTGTAGTGGTGACACTACACAGGCTAGAAATCAGGAGATTGTGAGTTCCAATCCTGCCTTAAGCATGAAAACCAGCCCGGTGACCTGGGCTAATTACCAGGAGCCTGTGAGTTCTAGTCCTGCCTTAGGCATGTGAATTGGGACCATGAAATAGACCTCTAGGGGCATAAAGGTGGACTGAAAACGTTTCTCTGAATTTGGTGTCTCGCAGTCCATCTCCAAGATCCTTGACGCTGCCAGTCTGGAACTGCTGAATGAGAGTTGCCGGCGATCCCTGAAAAAGCTCGCCAATCAAGCCGACTCGGTTGAACAAATTGACGACACTATCCTGACGTGAAAAGCAAGTTGGCCCTTTGACCCTTGCTGCTTCAGCATTGCAAGTCAAAGCCGACGATGTTTTCATTTTCGAAAATGCTAATTGTGAGCCGATTAAGAAGGAAAAAAATAGCCTTAATTATTCTGCTGGTTTAAACAAGAGAATTTGGCCTGTCCCTCCCCCCTCTTTTTTTTTTTTTTAAATTCTGTTGATTGGTAATGAGTTAGTGGTGAATTCACACATCCCTCTGCGTGGAAGGAGACGTTTTCACTTGAGTTTAAGCAGGAAGGAAAATTTTTTTGTTGTCAAAAGCAAGTTTTGTTCTGAGGTGCTGTTGGCTTGAGGTGGCTCTGAAGGCTGCTGACTGATTCTGCAAATCAGATCATCCAAGGGGCCAGAGAAATGCAGAAAGGGTTTGAATGGCAATTTATTAAAAAGCTTTCAATCTCTTGTTGGCCATCATTATTGGTACACATCCTCACATACGTGAAAATAACAACTGTTGGTTTGCTGGAGCGTAATAAGCTGGGCCAAGGTTATTGGAATTCAGGCATGCAAGTCTAAACCACAGTGGGCTTGATTCAGACAATACCTTAAATCAGCATTTCTGAACCTTGCCAACTTTAAGACAGGTGGACTTCAATTCCCATAACCCAAGAGGATACGATAATACTATAATTCGGGAGTCTCCAAACCTGGCAATTTTAAGACTTGTGGAATTCAACTCCCAGAATTCCTCAGCCACCCCTAATCCTAACCTATGCAGGCTAGGGAATTCTGGGAGTTGGAAGTCCACCCATCTTAAAGTTGCCATGGTTCAGGAACACTGCATTAAATCGTCAACTCATGTCAACACAATGTTCGCATGACACGGTTAACTCAGTTGCTTCTCCAGGTTACCGTGATCCTCAGGAACTCAAAAAAGACTTCCTCACCTGGTGTATGTTTTTTTTGGGAAAATGTAGTTGGATTCATTTTTCAGCTGGCAAGAAAAAAATAAGGCTTTCAGAGATTATACAATGCTTGAAAAGGGATTTTAATCCATCCAAATTAAATACAGAACCAGAAAAAATAACCGTAACAAGTTAAGAGTCGGAACCGATGGACCCTAAGGCCTGCTTGTTCAGTGGAAGAAGCTGATCACCGTAAGGAATCTGCTGTCCCACAGACCAGAACTGGACTAAATTCTCTTGTGTAACAGTTCCTCTCCCCATATATAAACGTGAAATTCAGTGCAACAGCAACAAAAACATTGACAAAGAAGAATAACGATCTTCTAAGGTGAAGATGGCTTTGGCTGATCAATTCTCTGGCTTTTGAACCTGCAACTGAAAAGCGTTCTAAACAGACTTTTGAGAATGAGCATTTCCTAGTCTTCCAGTTGGCTCCTTCGGCATTCCCCAGAATGTGATCTCTTGGTGATCCCCAGCAACCCTTTCTTTCACAAAGGGGATCCCGATCTATTTGAGCCAGGCATGTCGGGGTCAGAGAGGAGGGGCGCTGTGCACCCGTTTGGGGAACGGCACCCGAGCCTGCAACCACTGCTTGTAGTCTTCTTCAGGCATATCCACAATATATTCACGCAGGAACTGTGATGAAAAAAAAGAAGCAAAAAACCAAAAGATTTGATTGTCAGGTCTTCTAAGGAGATGTTGGTCCCGCTGTATTTATTCCATTGATCTTTTGCATCTTATGACAACCGGAATAATGGATCTACGTTTCTTTTTGGGGTGTCATTGCAGCGGGCCCCATCAGCAACCTATCCCTATCCCCTGCACTGACAGTCTTGCTGTGCCCTCCCGCAGTGTCAGGCACAAACAACCAGACCCTCGTGTGTAAAGATCTAACTAGCTACTTCATTGTTCTGTGCCTGTAATATAAAAATCTTCCCCGACTGGCAACCTTGCGCCTGGGAAAGATCAAATAACAATAACAGAGTTGGAAGGGACCTTGGACTGCTGTTGTAACTTCGAACGGTCACTAAATGAACTGTTGTAAATCAAGGACTACCTGTATCTCCCTTGAATTTATCCTTTTAAAAATTTACATGAAGGGGTTTCAGTAAATAGCATTGTATCTCGGCCTCTTTGAGAGTGAAGCAGCTGAATTCCTTCCCACCCGCATCCCTCACCTCTACAGCTGCGCAGATGTCTGGAGAGCAAATTTCCCAGATCCGAAGTTCTCCCAAGACCTTCAAAAAAGTGGGAGGCCGGATGCGTAAGTCCGGATTCCTAGCAAACCTTTCCAGCTTCTTGAGGACTTTCTGGGCACGGCGGTCTCTTCTGATGTCATCTGGAATCCTTTCCAGCAAAGTTGAAAACCTTGAAGGAAAAAAAAAATACTAAATAAGAGAAAAACATTTAACGTGGATGTCTCTAAAGCCTGAAAGGTATGACTCAGATGACAGCAACGAGGCCCACTCATCAATCGCTAGAGTAAGCAACTTTATTGTCTACCACCAGTGTTACAAGAATCTTCCCAGACTGCTTGCCTTCCCCTGGGAATGTCCAGATAATGATTCGTACCTCTTGAGAGAGCTCACGCTTATGCCACTTGTGACTACGCGAGGATTCCAAGCTAGAGCCTTGCTTGACTCCTCCTTCCAACTGCCTGGCAGTTTCCCAACATCATCCTTGGCACGCAACTGATAACAATCAAGACTGTACTAGGGGAAGGGCCCTATTACAATTCCTCAGACACAAGATGTTTGGAATTTGATAAAAATTGCCTGAATTTTGGATGATGGAAACATCTTCCCAAGGCACAATATAACCATTAAGCAATTTGGTTTTGTTTTCAACGGTGATCAAGGAGATTTATGACACGAGGATTGCATTCCTGATTTTCCTCTGCAGAATTATGCAACCCAAAAGCTCAACTCAGCCCTCTGCTTCCCTCCCCCCTTTCTCACCAGTTTTCCGACTCTGCATCTTGTTCAGGCTCTTTGCCCACCACGGATTGTCTCATTCGCTCGAGGTCTTTCCGGAAACGGGTAAGATAGTTCAGGCACAGGAATTTCCGAATGTTCTTCTCCTCTCGTCTCCTGTCACATGGAATAAACATCCGAAGAATGTTCACGTTTTCTTGACAAACATGAGACACCCTCAACCTCTACTTGCCAGCTGGATCTCCAAATGATGTTTATGCCATCGGCTTGTTTGAAGGCGAGCAGAAGAAACTTTTATGGGGAAAGAAGTAAATTTTACAGAGGGCTACATGATTAGGTTATGGTGAGCCAGACAAAGGTTTGTGTGGAGCTTGTGCTATGAAGTAAGCCAGGAGTCCCCAACCTGCGGGCCGTGAGGGGTTTGCAACTGGGCCCCAGAAACAGCTGGCGAGTCCACATGCATCCTCACAACACTGAAGGACTCTACCTACCTCTCCAGGATGTCGAGTTGATCGTGCAGCCGGAAGGCGTTTTCTTGGGAGATGTCAAAAAACAATTCTCTCATTTCATGACAGAGTTGCTGCTTCCTTCTAATGAAAGAGCTGGGGGGGGGGAAGACCATGTCGGAAGACATTCCCCCAGTTTTCTGCCTGAGAAGGGGGTTGAACTAGAAGACCTTCAAGGTCCCTGCCAACTCTGTTATTGGTATTCTGTTACTCTGAACACAGAGGCCAAAGGCCAGTGGAGGTGGACAAGGGGGCCAGCTGGATTTATACTGACCTCTACCTTCTTCTATCATCATTCCTTTTTTCTTAATGCCTTTTCTCATTTTACCCACCTTGGAAGGATGGAAGGCTGAGTCAACCTTGAGCCTCGAACTGTTGGCAGAATTAGCCTGCAATATTGTGTTCTAACCACTGCGCCAGCCCGGCTCTTATTGGCATCTGTGTTCCTACCTTTCAGGACTGCAAAGCTCTGATGCTTTGTCATCTTCCATATATGTGGCAGTGGTGGTTTTATCTTCTCGGACAGTGACAACCATCGAACTACAAGAAAACGAGAGGCCACGAAGGGAAATCAACAGAGTCTCTAAGAAACATCACACAAACCTTGGTTTTGTTTCCATCCGTTTTTGTTTCCATCCGTAATGAAATCCTCTGGAATGTTAACACAACCAGCAGAGTGGAGTGGAGTGGAGAAGAAGAATTCCCTCCCTTACTTCTGGCCCCTTACTCACCTCTTTCTCTTGGCCTGCACTGTGCTTCCTTCTTTGTGTATCCCTGTGCTGGTTTTTTCGTCCTTTGAAGATGTTGCAGAGCTGAAAAACACCAGATTAACCTTCCGCACTTTTATTATTCTAGAACGGGGGTGTCCAACCGTGGCAACTTTTAAGACTTGGGGACTTCAACCCCTAGAATTCCCCAGCCAGCATTGGGAAACTTTCCAACACAGGTAATCCTGGACTTACGGCCACAGTTGGGAACCCAAAATTTCTGTGGCTAAGAGAGACTGCTGTTATGTGAGTTTGGCCCCATTTTACGACTTTTCTCACCACAACTGTTAAGTGAATCACTGCGGTTGTTAAATTAGTAAGACGCTTACTAAGTGAAATCTGGCTTTCCCACTGACTTGGCTTGCCCAGAAGGTTGCAAAAGGGGATCGCGTGACCCCTGGGGAGACGCTGGAACCATTATAAATAGGAGTCAGTTGACAAGCGTCGGAATTTCGATCACTTGACCCAGGGGATGCTGCATCAGTTGTGTGGAAAAGTCACTTTTTTTCAGTGCCGTTGTAACTTCGAACGGACACTAAATGAATGGTTGTAAGTTGGAGACCAGCTGTAACTAAGAACAGACCAGGACTTCAGGTGTTTCCGTTCAGTCCTGGGGCTGTTGCTTACCTCTTGCCCCGTTGTCCAAACGATATTTCGCTGTCCGGATCGTACATATGTAGACTAAAAAATAAGAAGGAGAACTTGAAGCTCAGATGTAGGCAGAGAAGGAAGCCAAGAAGGTCAGAGAAAGCGCAGAGCAAACAAGCAAAGATCCTTCATTCAGAAGACCAGCTGTGCAACCATCTGACCCATGTGGGGTGGTGTCATTGAGTGAGGATCTTTCAAGTCTAAGATTGGTCTCCAAAGGCTGGGAGGGTTAAGAAACCTTAGGAGCTTCTAGCAAACAGCGCCGGGAGCCTTTCCAGCTAGTGAGTTACAAACCAATTGAACAAATTGCTTTTGTAAAATGCAAACCAAGGCAACTTAATGTGCTCTTGAAATTAGAGACAGGCATGCTGTCTCCCCAAAATCAGTCCCCCAACTTACTACTGTGGTTTCGTATTCCAAAACATATTTTCCTTGCTAAAATTCTTAGCCACATCTTCGTGTATCATCCGAAGTAAGGTCTGCAGGTCTGTGGAGGGAGGAAAGAAAGGGGAAAAAAATTAGCAGGAAACCAGAATTAAATTCCAGGAGACTTAAGCTCTTCGGAGAGTTTGCAGTGAAAAGCGTTGGGATGAGCAAGATGTGAAGAGTAACAGCCCAATTGTGCACCAAATAAACCAGGTTCAGATGCATAATCCAATAATCTCATTTGGGAAGTATATAATCTCAAAAAGGCCAGGAGGTACGTTCCAACTTGCAGACATCGCAGAAGAAATGTCTCAAAACATCTTTTTTTTTTTTTTTTAGAATATGCATCAGCAAGTATAGAGCAGCCTTCTCCCACCACTGAAAGATGGTTGACTTTCTTTCTTTCCTAGGATGTATCATAGAATCATAAAGTTGGAAGGGACCTTGGAGGTCTTCTAGTCCAACCCTCTGTTCAAGCAGGAAGCCCTGTATGATTGCAAACAGAGGGCTGTCCAATCTCTTCTTAGAAACCTCCAGTAATGGAGCACCCACAACTTCTGGAGGCAAGCCCTTCCTCTGGTTAATTGTCCCCACTGTCAGGAAATTTCTCCTTAGTGTTCCAGGTTGCTTCTCTCCTTGATTAGTTTCCATCCATTGTTTCTTGTCCTGCCTTCAGATGCTTTGGAAAATAAATTGACCGCCCTCTTCTTTGTAGCAGCCCTTCAAATATTGAAACACTGTTATTGTGTCACCCTTAGTCCTTCTTTTTTTATTAGACTAGACATACCCAATTCCTGCAACTGTTCTTCGTATGTTTTAGCTCTCCAGAACCTCTAATGTATGTATATATTCCACTTATATACAACCGAATCAATAGACTCGAGGGGATATTTATGAAGCGGTTGACCCCAAAATCCATAAGCAGGGGAAAAGCATCCACGGGAAGCAAAAATTAAATTAACCAAGGTTATAAAAACTCCAAGAATAAACGTTAAGCCCTGGCGAAAAGGAAGCAAAGTGAAGTAACAGAATCTCACCCTAATTTAACATAAAGCAGTAAATCGATGGAAGTACAAATTAAAGATGGTGCATTTCGCCAGTTTAGAAGAAGAACTGTGTCATGAAGAGCATTCAAAAGAGCTCTTTTGCAAAGCCAGAGCGGAGCGACATGGAAACCGCCGTTCAGTCTTCATGAATGAAGGATAGGACCAAGCTCTTTCCCCAGGAAACACATACCGGATGGCCCAGATAGAAAAAAAATCCCTGCAGGTACTGAGTACCAAGCCACATTTAAGGCACAGCTAGTCCTTGACTTATAACTGCAGTTGGGAGCAGAATTGTCATTATTAAGCAAGGCCGTTGTTTAATGGAGTTCCTGCTCGATTGGATGAACCTTTTGCCACAGTGGTTATGTGACTCGCAGGTGTCGTTCAGTGAATCAGGCGGTCATTAATTGAATCCAACATCCTCCACTTAATTTGCTTGTCGGAGGAGGGCTGGGAAAGTCGCAAATGGAGATCATGTCACTGCCCCCCCCAGGACCCTGTGACCATTGTAAATACACACTGGTTTCCAGGAGCACAAAGGCCACGTAGGTGCGACAATTGTAGCACCTGGAGACGTGTGATTGTAAGCTTCTATGGGTGGGTCTATTCCCCATGGCCAACTCACCTTGGCCCACTCATTGCAGTTGCTGGACAAAATTGACACTAATATCCAAGAAAGGGTAGAGTAGAATCATGAAAGAAAGGATGCAAAAGGAGGGAGGGATAGAATGAAATGCGATCGACAAAAGTTAAAATACATTTTTAAATTGATTTTAAGCAATTAAACAGAATGGTTAAATTGTTCTGCAGTGAGTTGCCCCATGGCATGTTGGCCGTGACAAACTGTCCCATTCTGGTGATCAAGGGAAAGTCGGATCCCATTGAAAGTATCCGATTCACTTAACAACCGATTCATTGACTCATCCCGAGGACATGGGGTCACCCTTTTGCCCATCTTCAGCTGGCCTCTGAGAAGTAAAGGGGGAAGGTGGATTTGCTTAATGACCTCATGATTCACTTCACAGCCATGCCCAAAAGAGGTCACAAAATTGGGCGCAACTGACTTAACCACCCCCTTGCTTCCGGTCCCAGTTGGGTTGTAAGCCGAGGACTTGCTCTATGGCAGGGGTCTTCAAACTTGGCCCTTTGATGACTTGTGGACTTCAACTCCCAGAATTCCTCAGCCAGGCACATCCACAAGTCATCAAAGGACCAAGTTTGAAGACCCCTGGTCTATGGTGTTGAAGAAAGTCCCTTTGACCAGTCTGGCATCTCCCAGGTGCTCACAGTAGCTCAGGGGTTCTTCCTCCTCCTTCGTCTGCTTGCTGTAGCTGGACTCCAGCTCTTCCACCTCCTTGGCGCTTTCCGACGTAGGTTGGGCGACTTCATCGGAGCCGGGCGTCAAAGAGCTGGTGCTGGCCAAGGTGGTCTTACTATGTGGCGAGGACAGCCCACTGATCTTGGACATGCTCCCTGTCATCTTAGGTGACTTTTTGCTGGACGGGCCCCGAATCTGCTTCTGGGTATATCTTCTGCCCTGGAAACATTGTAACAGAATAAGGGAAGAGTTGGAAGGGACCTCGGAGGTCTTCTAGTCCAACCCCCTGCTCAGATGGGAAACCCTAGGCCTAGACCATCCCAGACAAATAGCTGTCCAGTCTCTTCTTAAAAACTTCCAGTGTTGGAGCATCCACAACTTCTGGAGGCAAGCTATTCCACTGATTAATTGTCCTCTTTGTTAGGAAGTTTCTCCTTAGTTCTACTATTCTAACTACTATTCTATTATTATTCTACTATTTTAGTTCTACCTGCCACTGTAAGCTTGTTTCACAAAGCTGCAGGGGTCAAAGCAAGGAATCAACCATCCTCGTCTCACACCCAAGAAAAACTGGCCCTTTGATAGAATTAGTTCTCCATCCAGGGAAGCGTACCTTTGCATGCTGAACAAAATGCTCCCACCGATTCTTCACCGCCTTCTCTTTATTGATGGTTTTCATGCAACTTTTCCCACCACCGTAGTCCCTGGGAAAGATGGGATTTCATCAGCTTTCCATGTCTATGAAGATTCTCTGTCATCCAGGTCACGGTTGTCCTAAAGGTGCTTTTTCAACTGGACTTGCTTGTTTTTTCTTTGAAGACGTCTCGCTTCTCATCCAAGAAGCTTCTTCCGTTCTGAAGAACTCAACGGAGAACGGAAGGAGCTTCTTCGATGAGAAGTGAAACATCCTCAGGAGAAATAAAGTCCAGTTGATTAGTTTCCATTTGTTGCTTCTTGTCCTGCCTTCAGGCACTTTGGAGAATAGCTTGACTCCCTCTTCTTTGGGGCAGCCCCTGAGATACTGGAGCGCTACTATCCTGTCACCCCTCATTCTTCATTAAACTAGACATACCCAATTCCAGCAACCGGTCCTTATATGTTTTAGCCTCCAGTCCCCTAATCATCTTTGTTACTCTTCTCTGCACTCTTTCTAGAGTCTCAACCTCTTTTTTACATCGTGGTGACCAAAACTGGATGCAGTATTCCAAGTGTGGCCTTACCAAGGCCTTGTAAAATGATATGAACCCTTCACGTGATCTTGATTCTATCCCTCTGTGAATGCAGCCTAGCACTGTGTTGGCTTTTTTGGCAGCTGCAGCACACGGCTGGCTCCTATCTAAGGAATTGTCCACTAGGACTCCAAGATCCCTCTCACAGTTAGATTCTGTGACCTACTTGGGGTTCCAGCAGGCGATCAAGGGCTTCATGCTACTGCAGGGCTCCAGGGTCAAAGCTTCCAGGAGCCAGTTAAGGGCACAGAGTTGCCGGAAGATGGAGTCACTGTTGAGATAGAGGAAGACAGATGGGCTGGCAGAAAAACAGAGAGAAGAGGCAGATTCTGGCTAGAAGCCAAGTGACCACAGCCACAGGAACACACAGGGAAACTTGAGGCTCTCCTCAAATGCCCATAGATGCACACCGAAGCTCTGCTGTCATGAATTTTACAGCATGATTTCTCTCCAGCTAATTTACTACAGTCCTCTCCCGCCCTTTGCCAGAGAAATGCATTTTTTGACTGTCGCCCCCAGCCATTCTACCAAATAAAAGCACATTCAAAAAAGAAAAAGAAATCTGCCATTGTTATGAATCCTCACAGGGAGATTTTTAAAAGTCCTTTCTTTTTCTTTTTTCTTTTTTTTAAAGTGAGCTCTTTGGGCTCATCTTCTAATTAAACCACCCCAGGTTAAACTTGCCACAATGCTGGTCCTCATCTAATTTCTAGGTTTCCACGGTGCAATATATCCTCAGTGACCCAAATGCCCCCCCCCGGGGTTATCTGTACTTTTCACACTCTGGCACTCTAGTTTGTGTCCATCCTGGTCACTTTTTCCCAGTGGGATTGCACTCTTTTCAAAACCCTTTCACGGTTCTGCAAGTCTCCAAATTCTTCTCTCCTCCTCCCTTTCCCTCCCTCCCTCCCTTTTCTCTTTGGATCCCATTGCAGAATTTTACCCCTTTGGGAGACGGAATTAGAGGGGGGGAAAGAAAGGATGAGTGGCTGAACTGCTTCGAAACCTACAAATGGGCCTCTGGATGTTTTTGTGACAGCAAGCCATTATGGATGGGGGTGAAAGGCCGGGCCATTTTCTTCTTCTTCTTCTTTTCTGTCTCGCTCACCAAGAAGCCTCCTGTTAAAAAGAAACTGAAGAAAGAAAGAGAGAGAGAGAGAGAAACATGTCAGAAACAAAGGCCCGTGGGGAGGGGAGAGGGGGTCTTTCCTCGCTAGCTGCAGACCACCCAATTTCTGCCCACTCGGACGTCCATCTTTTCAAAAGGCAGCCTGACTTCACGGCATAAAGCTGACCTGCTATGACCACAAAATGTGGCAAGTTGTCATCACAAAGGATGGAAGAGATTTGTGTTGGCGTTTTCCATCCCTAACGGCTAGAAATGCCCTTTTTACACAAGGGCTGGATGATGTTTTGATGGCCGGAGGCGGCTTGTAATCCTCCAGAGCAGGGACTTAGAAAGAGGAAAAAGGCAGTGGGGTCAGGCTAGGCCAGTTGGGGTAAGAGGAAGCTGAGGTCAAAACCCAAAAGAGCTACTTGGGGGGAAGAGAGGCCATCGGCCAACGCAGCACCAGGGAGGTTGAGGGCCCCTACTCAGATTCGGAGTCGGAGTCTTCCTCCGAGGAGGAGGATGGGTAGTGAGGGGGCTGAAACTCCGTCCTTCTCCTCTCTTCCTCCCTCCGCTCTTCCAGGCTGGAGGCGGTCCTCCTCTTGATGGATTCTCGACGAAGACTATGGAAGTACCCCCGCCCGATCTTCACCGAGTTGATCAGATGCCTGCCAAAGAGGAGGAGACATCAAACAATGCATAAACTGGAGTCTCCGAGCACGGGGGAGACCCCCTCGGCTGTTTTCGCAGCCTTAAAGATTCTTTAAACAAGAGAAAATAAATCCATACAAGGCTGGCAGGGTGGAAAGGAAAGCGCCAGTTTTGAGTTTCTTCAACATCCATGGCAGTGTTTCTCAACCTTGGCCAGTTGAAGATGGGTGGACTAAGGTGGGATAAACAAAATCAAATAAAATACTCTGCCTTTGAATTTTGGCTGGTTAAAGGGGTTTATTGTTTGCTAGAATTCCCAGAATTTCTCAGCCAGCAAGCTGGGGAATTGAAGTCCAGATAGCTTAAACTGGCTATCGCTGAGAAACGTGGATCTACGGGGTCCACAAAGGTCCTCCTGGAATGGTGGAGAACATCCTAGGGAAACATCCTTGTCTCTTCAACTCACCCCGGCCAACTCAACATGGTCAACCTGCCACAGAACAACATTGCTGTGGGACAATTCAACTTAATTATATAAAATAATTTAAGGAATTATTTTAATTTTTGCCATTCACATCTCATTTCCCCCTTCCTTTGGCATCCTTTCTTGAACGATCCCATTCCACTATTTCTTCGATATTAGGGTAACTCTTGTCCCGTGGCAAGTTGGCCACGGCGAATTGTCCGTGGTGCTTGGCCACGACAAGAGGTCGTAGACCCTCCCCCCAAGAGCTCTGAAACGTTGGCCTGCTGCAGCAACTCAACGAAACTGCACCCATTAAAATGGAAATGTATTTAAAATGAACTTTGCAATACATCTATTAGACTAATTGCGCGTCGGCTGACTGTACCGTCGCAACACATATTTCCTGCCACCTGCCAGACAAGGGCAGTGTCTTCCTTGTAAATGGATAACTTGGTGGGGAAACAAAGAGCGTTTTTGAGAGCTAATCCTTTTCGGCAGAATTCCCCAGCTGCTTTAGAAGATTAAATTAACAGAGATAAAGGTCAGCCTTGTGCTGTAGTCAAATAAAAATGACCCAGCAACAAAAGAATGTATATGTAGTTGACGATAAATGCACTTTTTGGAAGGGGGGAGGGTTCGGCAAGGCCGTGCGTTTCATTACACCTAAACCTGAGCGATTTGTTAATTCTGACACGGTTTGATAAAGGATTGGGATGAAAGTTTGCTTCCGATATTACCAAAGTCCTGATACACTACATCAAATATCTTTAAAGATGAAATAATACCAAATGCAATAAATTCATTTCAGCTCGGCAGGAGGCCTCAGCTGGACTTTAATGAAAATTTCAACAAGCCCTGCACGGAAAGGGAGAGGTGGTTGACCCGTAGAATGAGCAGAGGTCTATACGTAGCTCTCCACTTTCAAGATATAAAATCTTTTATAAAAATATAAAAAGCATTTTTTCAAATTACGGGTTTACCAAAGCTTACTGGAGGGCTAAGAGCAGGGAAAGATGGGTCTAGGACAATTTGTCACAGCGAACTTGCCACTGGACAACTTAACGTAAGACAACTGGACCCTAGACCCGTTCCTCTCTTAATATTATTAGTAATATTCATCATCAATCATCATTTTAACACCATGTCCATCCACTGCAGGATGAAGGCCTCTTTCTGCATGGTCCTGGGCTTCCTTTTGCCAGTCGGGCCCGCCATACTTGCCAATGCGGTCAATCCATCTTGTTTTAGCTCTCTGGCTGGAAGGGACCTCTGAGGTCTTCTAGTCCAACCCCCTGCTCAAGGCAAGAGACCTTAGACCAACCCAGTCCAATCTTTTCTTGAAAACCTCCAGTGATGGAGTATCCTCAACTCCGGGAAGCAAATTGTTCCACTGATTAATTGTTCTCACCGTCAGGAAATTTCTCCTCAGTTCTAGGTTGCTTCTCTCCTTGATGAGTTTCCATCCGTTGCTTCTTGTCCTGCCTTCAGGTGCTTTGGAGGATAGCTTGACTCCCTCAAATACTACTGGAAGACTCCTATCATGTCACCCCTAGACCTTCTCTTCATTAAACTAGACATTGCCAGTTCCAGCAACCGTTCTTCATATGTTTTAGCCTCCAGCCCCTGATCATCTCTGTGCACTTTTTAGGGTCTCAACATCTTTTTTGTATCAAGGGTCCCTAATATCCAGAGCGACATGGAGGATTTGGAGAAGAGCCCAGCAGCTTGGAGAAGCAGCTGCTGGCCAGGTGGGGAAGCTTCTGACTCTGTTATTCTAAGTCTCCCACCCTACCTGGGCAGCTGAGTAATGTCATCCAGCATTCCCAGCAAAGGACATTTTCCCGTCTCCGCTAAGAGAATTTTGCAGACGGCACAAGGCATCCTGATAAAAGCACCGGGTGTCAGACAGCAAAGGGGAGATGGAATAGACAGTGGGATTCTCGTTTCCAAGCAACTGGCGTTCCTAACCATGAGCTACAGCAGAAACCTAGTAGCTGCAGGTAATGCCCGTATCACAAACAGCAGCATCCGTTGCTGCTTCTATGGGCCTCCTGCCACAGTCCTTTTGTGGCGAAACTCCCCCTCAATAATCAGATCTACCGGGTTAGGTGCAAAGAGGATCAGTGGCCAAAGGAAGCAAGCAGGAGATTCATAGGGAAGAGGCTTAGAGCAACGGTCCCCCATCCTTTCGAATAGAAGAAAAATCTTGGGAAATACTGTGCTGAGCTCTTAGTGATGGTTTGTGATTTTTGGGGTAGAGATACAAAGAATAGAATAGAGTAGAGTAGAATTAGCAGAATAGAATAGAATTAGTAGAGTAGAGTAGAGTAGAGTAGAGTAGAATAGAATAGAATAGAATAGAATAGAATAGAATAGAATAGAATAGAATAAGAGCAGAATAGAATAGAATAGAATAGAATAGAATAGAATAGAATAGAATAGAATAGAATAGAATAGAATAGAATAGAATAGAATAGGGTTAGGGTTTGGTTTAGGGTTAAAGGAAAAAAGAAAAAGAAAAGAAAAGCCAATGAAATAATTGGATAAATTGATAAAAACGCCCCTGGAAACATGCTGCATTTCAAATTCCCTCCCACTGTACCGCAACGGATAATTACAACCGACGGGGGAAGGCCTGTTTTGGTGCATGTGCCCTGCTGTGGCTGGCAGTGATGGCTTGCCAAGGTTTATTTTTTGCAACAGGCTGTTAGTGAACCATCCGTAGGGAAGCCTGCCACTTGGACTGATAATGATATTTGATGTCTGGGCTGGAAAAAAAAGAGAGAAGGAGCATCTGGTATTCTAATCAACGTGTGAATGGAGAATCAAAGCAAGGATCCAAGGATCAGCTTGATGGAGCTTTCCATCTGTCTAAGTAACCTCTGATTCCCTCTTCCAAGGGCTACTGTTGAAGGCCGTTTTCCTACTGCAACAGCATCACCTATCGTAGGAAACCTCCATGTATTTAGTTATTTTTATTTATTTTATATCCTGCCTTTATTATTTTTACAAATAACTGAAAGGGACATATATATGCAACATGCTTTCTTCCTCCGATTTCCCCCACAACAATAATCCTGGGAGGTTGCATGAGAGAGTCGCCCAAACTCACCTAGCTGGCTTTCATGGCTAAGGCAAAACTAGAACTCATGAGCTCTAGTTTGGGTGATTGGCTCAAAGTCACCCAACTGGCTTTCATGCCTAAGGAAGAACCAGAACTCAAGTTCTCCAGTCTTCTAGCTTGGTGCCTTAACCACTAGACCAAACTGGCTGTCTATATGTCTAGCGGTCAAGTGGGAATGGTTGCATCAACATATGTTCATTCAAATGCCTAGGTTCAGTTTTTGGATGGGCGCCTTAAAGCTTCAAGACCCTACCCGTGGCTCTCTACATTTCTTCAGGGGGCTCAGATAAGCCCTACCAGATGTAACAATAAGCCTTTCACTTCCTTTGTGTGATGCTCTCAGAAAAAGCAATAGAGAGAGAGAGAGAGAGAGAGAGAGAGAGAGAGAGAGAGAGAGAGAGAGAGAGATGGTGCTTTTCTTCATACTTCAAGGTTAGTTTCCGTGCATAACCGCACGGCATTTTCCTACCTCATGTGCACGAGGTCTCTGGGGAGGGTCCTCAAATCCTTCTCTATATGTCGAATCGGCAGAAGTTTCTTCTCCGGTTCCAGGAGCTAAGTAAACAAATGCCAGCAGAAAGGAAACTGTAGCTCAGAATAACCATCCCTTCATTTCCCTCTACTTTGGGAACAAGGGAGTAACCAAAAATAACCCGAAGAAGCATCTCTACTCAACAGGTCTCCTCTCCCCCTAAATTCTGGAAACTTAAGAAAAATGAAACTGAACCTGAGAAGTGAGTACAGATAGTCCTCAATTTATGACCACAACTGAGCCTAATCCAAAATTTTAATGGATTTACCGTTGGTTTCAACTTCTTGGAAAGCTCGGTTTCCAATGGTTCGGCGAATTCTTCCAAAGCAACTTCCTCTTTGTAGAGATCCTGAAATGAGAAGCAACAGGTAGGCTGAGACATCGTCTCGGTGTAAAGAATCTTGTGAGATCCGTGGAAAAAAATCATCCAGGGCTGATCCTGATCATGCAAAACAGAAACGGCGTTTCCCCCCCAACCTTAGCAGCTTTAAGCTGGGCGGACTTCAACTTCCAGAACGCTGGCTGGGGAATTCTGGGAGTTGAGGTCCACACAGCTTAAAAGTTGCCAAGGTTGAAAAAGACTGTTCTAAACACATCCAAATTATAATCTGGAAAGGGATTCTGTAGCGCAGCAAGGAAGCGATTGGCGTCTCTTAGTTCATGGAATGTTATGAAGGTTCCTGGGCATCAGATCCTTTAGCAGCAGCTGTCTGTGAAAGGCAATTTGTTTTAAAGAGAGGGGTTGCTAATTATAAACTTGGCTACAGAGCTTGGAGAGAAAACTCTTTGGTCATGGGTTTTCCATAATATTTGGAAGGAAGGAAGGAAGGAAGGAAGGAAGGAAGGAAGGAAGGAAGGAAGGAAGGAAGGAAGGAAATTAAGATTGAGAAGAAGGAGGAGGAGAAAGAAGGAGGAAAAGAAAAAGGAGGAGGAGATTTATGTGGCACTCAAGGTTGAATTTGGGCTTCTTTGTGTTTTCTAAGCTTGGAGAACCCCAAGAATCCCACAAGCAAGAGAAAAGGGAAAGCGATTAGATTCACATTTGTTGCTGACCTTCTCATCAAACATAGCTGCCTCCTGAAGCAAATCTGTGTGGGCGTACTTCGCAACACATCACAACTCTCACCCTGCCAGCTTTCTTAACAGGCAAAGTGAAGGCAAAGTAGAGGCTGTAACATCCATGCAAAAGGATTCCGTTAGGACTGGACGAAGCCCGTATATCCCTCAACCCTGGAATAATGGTTTTATTCACTAGATCACAATTAAACCAAGGGTCTGAATGTCTGAAGCCGGTCACAGGGCAAATGGTTTAGGTTACATGATTTGGATTCTATCTTCCTGTATAGATTTGCCCGACCACCCCACAGTTTAGGAAGTGAGCCATCTCCACGGGATGCTGCCGGTATATATATATTATTGTTACTTGCTAGATGTAAACTTTCATCCAACAGTCTTCCCACTTTGTTCTGTCTGGACTAAGTGATCGTTTTCAGCAGTTGGCTTTAATCTTTGATCTAAGACCGCAATGTTTACTCTTTGATTATGAGCAGTTCTGAGACCTTTTAATAGAGAGGGGGAAAAAAGAGAGACATCAAATGTTTCAGGCGCTGCACTCATGCCCTTATTGACTTGATCAGATTACTCTTTCCATCTTCCAACTCTTGTTTATTTTTTAAAAAAGAATCTTCCTTTTATCCTTGCTGAAAGCCATACACAGACACACACAGAGAGAGAAAAAGAGAGAGAGAGAGAGCGTATATAAAGTCAGCAAAGATGTTTTTCAAACTTGGCAACTTTAAGAGGTGTGAACTTCAACTCCCAGAATTCCCCAGCCAGCCATGAACTGGCCAGAATGAATAGCTGTAAGTCAAGGATTACCTGTGCTGAGTTTTGCTTTATGACGGAAACTCATTGGAGATTCAGTATGATGGCAGAGACCGTATTCCACGTACGGTTTATTAATTGAAAAGGAATAAAAGATATTATAATTTGCCTGTTTCGACGAGAGATTTCAAATTTAACACTGTACATTTTCTCAAGAGACTCTTAAAGTATGCATTATTAATGTTAATTGCTAATGTCTGTCTGTAGTTTCTCTCTCTCTCTCTCTCTCTCTCTCTCTCTCTCTCTCTCTCTCTCTCTCTCTCTCTTCTTCCTGGCATTCAGATTTATTTTTTACTAAATCCTCACGCCTCTAAGAAATACAAAAGCTTAATTAAAGTAGCAAATCAGCGGAAGCAAGAAACATGAAATGAATTAGATCAGCTTGAAAAAATCGCCCAAAGCCTTTGAGGGCTCAAACTAGACTTCTGTCGGAAAGGCGGGGAAAAAAGTCCTGTTTAATATATGCTCTGGATCAGTCTGTCCCATGAATTCCGGTGGGCAAGCATGCCGCTGGCTCTATGAAGCCAGAATAAGAGAAAAACTGCAAGAAAGAATGTAAAAACAAAAAGGGGGAGTGGGTGCGTGCAGATCAAAAAAGATACAAGAAGTGAGGAAGAGCAGAATTCGATCAGTCAGTCAGCACAGACTTGGAAGGGACCTTGGAGATCTTCTAGTCCAACCCCCTGCTCAAGCAGGAGACCTTATACCGTTTCAGACAAATGGCGGTCCAATCTCTTCTTAAAAGCCTCCAGTGATGGAGCACCCACAATTCCTCCAATTCCCTGTTAAAACACATTTCTTCCTATGGAGAAAACAGATAAATATCTGGTGTCTAATGTTCAGGCTCTTTTTTTTCAGGGGCCCTACAGCAGATCTGCCAAAATTTTATTTTCCAACGCAAAACTGCCGTCCAGATTCTGCTTGCCAAGCTCAAATGCTTGTTAATCTTGGTCTGTGACAGGGTTTACATTTTTGTTCTGGTTCGGCTGACATAGGAGCCTCTTAACAAGAACAGTCTAAAAGGTCTCTTTTCATTCCTTGCAATGCCCAGAAGCGTCCTGAGTGATATTATTTTTTTCTATAATTATCCGCTACTGTGGGAGGATTTCATGCTTAATGGCAGTCTAAAAATAGTTTCTAAGGAATACTGTTAAAACAATAAGCCAGGGAGATGTTTGCAACCATGCTGATAAGGGGGAAATCCTCTCTGCTTTGCATACACCAACATCAACATGGTTTGTTCGCTGCGTTGTGTCTTCATCCCGAACAGATCTTTTCTCCCGTCTTCTAAGAACATGCAGAGCTGCTGCATCTTGGTCCTCAGCCTGCCTATTCTGGAATATTGTGAATAAATATTAACAGAGCTGCTGTGCGGTAATTGGATTGCTGCTTTTAAAATGCAGGAGCCGTTTCCGACATAAATCCAATTAAAGTCTTACTTAAATTTAGGCTGGGAAGAATTTCGGAGTTATTTGATTCGCCCTTGGTCTTATTCACCCTTCCAACTGTAGTATCTAAAAAACACCAGGTTTCCCTCCACCCCACCCCTTGTCTAGCCATGCTTTTAAGAGAGAGAGAGAGAGAGAGAGAGAGAGAGAGAGAGAGAGAGAGAGAGAGAGAGAGAGAGAGAGAGAGAACAAGTGAGAGAGAGAGAGAACAAGTGAGAGAGAGAACTAGAGACAGAGAATGGGAAGAGAGAGAACAAGACAGAACGAGAGAAAGAGACAGAGAATGAGACAAAGAATGTGAGAGAATGAGACAGAGAGAACAAGAGATAGAGAACCAGAATGAGAGAGAGAGAGAGAGAGAGAGAGAGAGAGAGAGAGAGAGAGAGAGAGAGAGAGAGAGAGAGAGAGAGAACTAGAGAAACAGAGACAAACTTGTTAACCTCTGGACTCAGACTTTATTGCCTAGTGCCCTGTTGAATTGGACACCTGGTACTTCTTTTATAAGAGTTGTTAGCTGGCACCAAGCATCACTGTCTCCTGGAACTCATTGAAAAAGCATTTTCCACTTTTCACGGCAAAGTCCCCCAGCCTGTCACTGGCGTTAGAACAGAACAGAACAGAATAACAGAGTTGGAAGGGACCTCAGAGGTCTTCTAGTCCAGCCCTCTGCTCAAGCAGGATTCCATTCTGGACAAATGGCTGTACAATCTCTTCTTTAAAATCTCTAGTGTTGGAGCACCCGCAACTTCTGGTGGCAAGTCGCTCCACTGACTAATTCTTCTCACTGTCAGGAAATTTCTCCTTAGTTCCAGGTTGTTTCTCTCCTTGATTAGTTTCCATCCATTGCTTCTTGTCCTGCTTTGGAGAATAGCTTGACTTCTCTTCTTTGTGGCAACCCCTGAGATATTGGAACACTGCTATCGTGTCACCCCTAGTTCTTCTTTTCTCTAGATTGGCCATACCCATCTCCACCAACCGTTTGAATGGTTGGGGATCTTAAGGTCTTCTAGTCCAACCCACTGCCCAAGATAGGAGACCTTATTCCATTCCAATCTCTTCTTGAAGACCTCCAGTGTTGGAGCATCCACAACTTCTGAAGGCAAGCCATTCCACTGATTAATTATTCTCCCTGTTAGGAAATTCCTTCTTAGTTATAGCTTGCTACTCTCTCTGATTAGTTTCCATCCGTTGAGTCTTGTCCTGCTCTCTGGTGCTTTGGGAAATAAATTACCCCCACTTCTTTGTAGCACCTCATTTTGTTGTTGTTCTGGCTCTTTTGTGTCTCCTTGCAAGTGGTTGTAAAGCGACTTTGCCTGATTGGGCTTACCATTAGTGACATTAATTAAAGAATCCGGTGCTGCAGCTGATGCAGTTATGTTCTTTTTCTGAGGCTAGACCAGCTGGTGTGTGAGGATATGGTGCCAGGGGGATCTGTCATCTTACATTTTTCATGTTGTTGAGTTTTTCCGGCGTGTTTTGTTCCTGAGCGAGACTCCAGCCTGACAATTTGGATGGCGAGGTTTTGAAAGAACAGTCGGGAGTTGGGGAAGGAAACCAGCTTCTTGGGAGCCGAGAAATGTAGTAACCATGTAGTAACACTTGGATAATCAGAGACTCAGGAAGAGTTTTTAAATCAGCTGAGCAAAGACTCAACTTAGGAAGCACAGCCTATGCACAGCAGGATAGTTCTGTGTTCAGAGTGCAAAAATGTCTTGACACACTCAGTGAAAACTTTGGGATTTTCCTACCCGGGCAACTTCGCTTTACTTTCGCCGTTGTGGTTTGACCTTCGGAATGAGAACTAATTGCTTCTGACATTTTGTGATCGTAACGACAGCTGCGGGCAGATCCGGAGTCATAACTGCAGCCTGGAAGCCTGAAGCATTCCCTCGTCTTCAATTTCTAGGCTGTGTCCATTAGTTCCAGGCCTTTGGTGGCACAAGGCCATTAAAACGCCCTTCTTATTTTCATCGGACAGAATCATTTTTTAGTTAACCTCGGCAGAAGACAGCGTTGGAGGGAGAGAAAATCACATCATTTAAAAGATGCGCTGGGAGAGCACCGGTGGATGAGAAGCCGTCCTCTTGAGCTCTTACAAACCTGAGTCTAGAGAGCGACAGGTGGGGAAAACCCATCACCTCTTGCATCCCCAGCTCCAAGAAGATCCCGCACCCCATCCTTCTTCCTGAGTTGCTAGGAAACCGGAGACTCAGGTCCAGCGCAAGGAGGAACGGAGGAAGGTGAAGGAGCAGAAAGAAGAAAAAAAACATTGTCGATCTCAGTTTTACTTTAGCCCTAAATCTCCCTGAGTGGCTTTGAAAAAAAAATCACAAAGCCATCAATTTATCTACGGCATGCAGTAACAACAGCAAACTGCCACACCCACAATATAGTTGGCACTAATGAGACCAAACTCGGAACACTGCATCCAGTTCTGGTCACCATAATACACAAAGGAGGTTGGGGTGCTAGAAAGAGTGCAGAGAAGAGCAGAAAGATGATCAAAGGGCAGGAGGCTAAAACCTATGGAGAACATTTATGGAGATTCTCGGTCATCCAAGGTCATGGTTGTCCCAAAGAAGCTTTTTTCAAGAGACAACTGGACTTTTTTGTTTTTCCTTGAAGACGTTTCACATCTCATCCAAGAAGCTTCTTCAGCTCTGACTGGATGGTGGGGAATGGAAGGATTTATATTCCTTGCAGACAGCTGGTCATTTGCCTTCTTTTAGAGAGTCATTGAGAGTCTGTTGGATATGACTTTTCAACAGGGAAGGGACCCAGGGCAGAAAACATCCTGCAGCCAAGAAGGCTCCATGCACATTTGCAGTACTCAGGTGACCCTGAGGACACAGGTAAACCTCCAGGTGGTCTCAATGACTCTCTAAAAGAAGGCAAATGACCACAATAAAACTACAATTTATTCAAATAATTTTCTGGGTCTGCACAATTCTCTAATGAAGAACCATCAAGTTGCCATCTAGAAACCTGTGTCTGGTTTTGTTTTGTTTTTTCCTTCTCCCTCCCCATCCTGTTTCCTTTCATGTGGTGTCTTCCAAAGTGCCAGCCCGAAAGACCCTTTCCAGCCATTTTTATTAGCGATTTTGGGAGGCTTGCGGGCAGAAATCTTTCTGAAGGATAACTGCTGATTTAATAGATAACCATTGATTTAATGGATAACTGCTAATTTAACAGATAACTGCTGATTTAATGCATAACTGCTGATTTAGCGCATAACTGCTGATTTAATGGATAACTGCTGATTTAACGGATAACTTCTGATTTAACAGACAACTGCTGATTTAACGGACAACTGCTGATTTAACAAGAGCTGTGCACACTTACCGGAGGTAGCTGTCCCAGACCGTAGAGGGTGAGTTTTCTGGGATCAAGGTAAAGGGGGTCCCCGAAATCCTGATAGGGTTTCCAGCAGGGGGTAAAATACCCCTGTTGTGAGAGTTGTTTGGCTCTCCGATTATAGCTCTCTCGAAATACTTGCTCTCTTGGCACATCCCAGCAGTTGTAAATGGTTTTGCTCCGTGCCTGGATCTTTAAACCCTTCTGGGTAGGGACAGGTAGTGGTCTGATCAGCACGAAGTAGCGAGGATCAATTTTGGGGTTCAGGGGCATCCTGCCTCTGTTGCCCTGGGGCGGTTTCCAATAGGAAACCCAAGTAATCAATTGATCAATAGGCTATTGATTTCTCAAGTCAAGTCCTTCTAGTAAACTACTCCACAAGCAAGTACTTTCTTTGGATTCACTGTCTTGGGCAATTGGGGGTTTTCTGCCCATCAAAGCAAACCACGATTGGTCCAAGCATGTTGGGCTGTTGGGATCCAAGCCAGGATTCCTGATTGGCCTCCCAGGGGAAGTCAAGCTGCTAAGTTCAGACAGAGGGACTGCTAACCCATGAGACAAAGCAAGCTTAGCAGCCCCTTTCCCTTTGGGGCTGTGCAAAGCTCCAGAAATTAAAAACAGGTTTTCCAATAAGCCGTGATGAGAGACCTTCACTAGGATCTAAACTCAGTTTGGATCGAATGTGGACCCAACTCTCTGACTTTCCCTACCACGACTGTGTTTCCAAGTCTGCGACATTCATGCCCCTATGCCTATCTCCCTCTCCCCTTCCTTTCTTTCTCCTTCCTCCTACCAAGTACCTAGACTACTCTGCCTTCCTATCAAATCCTGTTTTCACAGCCAAATCTGCAGCCAAGTTTACTGTAGGTTGGTTGGCTTTTGCTCCTCTCCCCAATTTTTATTTTCAAGCTACTAGTCCCTAAGAGGTCCTCTACAGCCTCTCTAGAAAACTAGGACCCCCAAAGTCTCATGGCTGACCCGAGGCCAAAGCCATTCAAGGCCAATGACCCCCGACCTGGGGGCTGTTTGCCCTCTAGCCCCTTCCCCTTTATAAATGCTTCCTTCTCTTCCTAACTTCCCCTAAGCATTATAAGGCTCCAGCTAAGCCTAAGCCTGGGGGGTCGGGGGGGGGCTTCCATTAAAGACAGACAGACATTTTCCAGTCTCCCCCACCCCCCAGTTTGGAGACACTCCGCCCCCACCCCGTCTTTATCTTGCCCCCTCCCAACGCCAACTGCTTTGGAAGGAAGAACTGGGGAGAGAGGAGATGGCGTCTCCTGTTGCCCTTGGCAACCGCAACTGGCAGGCGCGCGGGCTGGTATGTCCCTCGCCGCTGTCCGTAGCAGCCGCTGAAGCTGCTTCCGCCCGGACTGCCTGCCCTTTTTTCTTTTAAACGAAGGAATGAATGCATGAATCTGCTCGGTTTTTTTTTTTTTTTGCAACGACCTTTATATTTTGCCTAATTAAAAAAGGGATGTCCAGTCTCTCTGTTCCCCACCTGTTGGACTGCATTTTTAACTCCTCTTGGGGGGGGGAGAAGTTAAAGTGTTTTTCAAACTTTTAAGAAGTATGGACTACAACTCCCAGCATTCCCCAGCCAGCATGGGAAATCTGGGAGTTGAAGTCCACCCATCTTAAAAAAAAAAATCCTGGCTGGGGAATCCTGGGAGTTGAGGTCCAGACATCTTCCCTGGTGGTGTTCGAGTAGAGCCTGGACAGCCATTGGTAGAGATTCATTTGAAATCCTGCCCTGAGCAGGGGTTGGACTTGATGGCCTCCCAAACCCCCTTCCATCTCTATGAATGAATGAGAAGCAGTGACACTTCAATAGGAAAGTGATCGCTATGCGAGCAATCGAATAATAGCAGCAAATACTCTTTTAAAAACGAACAAGTATTTTTTAAAATAATTGCATTACATCATACACTGGATAGACTGTGAAGGGCCCCATTTCCAGATATATATAATTGTAAGCCGCTCAGAGTCATTGACTGAGATGGACTAGAAAGGAATGAATGAACACAAGAATGAATGGATGAACGAATGAACCAATGAATCACCTGTGCCTGTTCCCATCTAATTGTCACTCTTTTGCTTCATTGATAATTTTAATAATTAAATGTTACAGCTTAAGGCTGACTCACTGCATGTAGTTGACATTGGTGTTGTGTGGCAGCACTGCCCCATTGTGGGGAGCGTGCATGGCCATCCCGGCCAGCTTCTGAGTTTGTTGTCCCGTCTCCATGGCAATGGAAGAGATGACGTGGGAACGGATCCTTCCTGCATTAGAGCACCCATTTTACCCCGGGCACAGGATACTTAAAAACGGAGGTGCAACTGGGTGGCATTCAACCTCTGTGACTCAGTTGTGGGTAATTTCAGATGTGGCTGCCAATGCATAATTCTGCGGAACTAGATGCAGATCCAACCTTGTGTTGCATTGTTGTCTTTCTTGTTCCTCAAGCATCAAAGCTGGGTAATTTTCTTGGCTGGCGAGGAGGGATTCATTATGTGGATGAAGGGAAGAACAAGGATGGGGAAAAAAAACAAGCTGCTTCTTGCCCAGGTTGCTACTGATGCAATAGATCTTTTTGTTCCACAAAGAAGAGGGGTTCCACCTATTTTCCAAAGTACCTGAAGGCAGGACAAGAAGCAAGGGATGGCAACTGATCAAGGAGAGAAGCAGCCTGGAATTAAGGAGAAACTTCCTGACAGCGAGGATAATTAACCAGGGAAACAAAATTGCCTCCAGACATTGTGGGTGCTTCATCACTGGAGATTTTTCAGAAAAGACTGGACAGCCATTTGCCTGGGATGGTACTGGGTCTCCTGCTTGAGCAGGGGGGTGGACTAGAAGACCCCCAAAGTCTTTTGCAACTCTGTTATTCTCCAAAGCACCTGAAGGCAGGACAAGCAGCAAGGGATGGAAACTAATCAAGGAGAGAAGCAACCTAGAACTTTCTTAACAGTGAGAACAATTAACCAGTGGAACGACTTGCCTCCAGAAGTGGTGGGTGCTCCATCACGGACGGTTTTTAAGAAGAGACTGGACATACAGGTCATGTAGCTGCTTGTGACTGCCCCGTGCCTAGAACTCCCTGGCTCCTGAACTCTACCTGGTGCCTTGAAACCTACACTAAAAAGGAGCCTCCATCAGAATAAACACAGAGAAAATAAACAAGCCAGGAAGATTTTAGCAATTCTTCAGTGAATTAGATTAACTCTCAGGATGGGGTTTTTAACCTTTTGGGGGACAATGAGGGATTGTGACATGATAAGCCGTTGAAGGGTTGCGGATAGTTATTAATGAGGACGTGGCTCCTTGTTTTGGCTCCAGCTGAGGAAATAAACTGGCCCCATCCATGCTGATCATTTAATCCTCCATTCCAGTCCCCCCCCCCGGCCTTTGTGTCTATGTGGGTCCATGTGTCTAAATGTAAGTGTCCCCCCCACACACATAGTAAAGTTTTCCCCGAAAAGTCCTTGAGATTCCAAGCACGGGTTTTGCACTGATTTTCAAAAGATTGCAGACTTTCTTTATCAATGCAAATTAGTCTCTCCTGATGAAAAGGGAAAACAAATGGAATTTTAAAATGCAGCTAATCAAGAAGTTAAAGAGAGGTTAATCTTCCTGGATTAATCAAATTGCATGCATGAGAGAAGAGAGCAGGCGAGGAAGACAGAGGTGGAGGAGGGGGGCAAGGAAGAGAATTTGTCTGGCTGATTCCCGATGTGACGATCATGCAGGCAGTCCTTGACTTACGACAGTTCGTTTAGTGACCGTTCAAAATTGCAACGGCACTGAAAAAAGTGACTTAGAACCATTTTCACACTTACGGCGGTTGCAGCACCCCAAGGCTACGTGGTCGAAATTCAGATACTTGGCAACCGACTCGTATTTATGACGGACTCACGTGATCTCTTTTGCGACCTTCTGGCAAGCCAAGTCAATGTGGGGGGGACCCAGATTTACTTAACAACCGTATTCCAGATTTAATATTAGCGATTCCAGTCATTTATTTCCTTCTCTTCAGACATAGCAAAGATGTCTCCTTGCTTTATCTCCTTCCTTATTTATCAACTGATTTTTAAAGTCTCCTTAGTTCAGTTCAGTCCTGATCAGCAGAAGTCCGGTAAAGGTTAGCAGAGGCTCATCTTGATTAAGTGAATTCCTGCAGGGAGAATTTGCTGTCTCAGCTGCCTTGTCCTTTCCAGTCCTCCCACCCTTCTGAAAACTTTTTTTTTCCCATTCCACGTAGAGACCTCTCTCCTTCTTAAAATTCTGTGCATCCCTGTCTCAGTACTAACGCCAATATTAAGCCATAAAAAGTAATATGTTATGACACCATAAAATGCAGCGTAATTGTCACGAAACCATAAAATGTAATGTAGTTGGCTCAGTGGCTATTATATATATATATATATATATATATATATATATATATATATATATATATATATATATATATATATATATATCAGCTGTAACGGCTTCGGAGTGGAATGGAGCATGCAGGGCGAAGCGAACCACAGATCACCAGGGAAAATCTTTGAGAGATTCAAATCTTTATAGCCTTTCATGTTTCCTGCCGTTGCAGGAAGTGGCAATTCTTGTTCTGTTCTCCCAGACAACATAGGACATAGTCATAGGGCTTGGAGGACCTTAGAGATCTTCTAGTCCAGTGTTCTCAACCTTTTCTTCACCATGGACCACCTTTCAATCCACTTTGTGGCCACAGTCCTCCAAGACTCGAGATTTAAATCATAACATTTCTTCAAGCCTTCGTAGACCCCCTAGGATGACATTATGGGGTCCGTGGACCACAGGTTGAGGACCATGGTTCAAGTCCAACACCCTAGCCAGAGTAGGACACCTTACACCATTCTGGACAAATGGCTGTCTACTCTCTTCTTAAAAACCTCCAGTGATGGAGCACCCACAACTTCTGAAGGCAAGCTGTTCCACTGGTTAATTGTTCTCCTTGTCAGGAAATTCCTCCTTTAGTACTAGGTTGGGTCTCTCTTTGATGATCGTCCACCTGTTACTTCTTGTCCTGCCCTCAGATGCTCTGGAGAAAGCCCTCTTCTCTGTGACCCTCAAATACATAGGGTAACTGGCCAACCAAACTCGGTAACATCATCTGCTAGAAGAGAGTGGGCTTTGTAGAGGAGGAGGAAAAGGACTGTTGGGTCCTTGGTGCTCTCTGAGCTTGGATGTTTTCTTGCAGACATTTCACTACCCAAACTAATTAACATCGTCAGTGTTAGTGACTGATGCTAGTGACAGTGACTAGTACTGATGAGGTTACCTAGTTAGGGTAATGAAACGTTTGCAAGAAAACAAGCAAGCTCAGAGAGCACCAAGGATCCCTCACTCTCATGTGTGCATACCGGCCTGCCACTCGTGCACATTGAGCTGTTTCTGTGTGCACCAGTCTGCCACTCATACAAGGGCTATGTGTACATGAACGTGCTTGCCAGCCCACTGCTCATGCAGCCCAGTTCCCCTCTCCTCCCCCAGCTGGGCTGCCAAGCCACAAAGGTTGGGGACTCCTGCTTCAGGAGGTCCATTTCTTTGTGGTCACTACTCCCGGATTCACTTACGTTCCTGTTTTGGGCTCAGATAGCAGGTGACATCAAAGAACGTGGAGATTGGAGCCATCAGGAGACACGTTTTGCCAAATGTGCCTTCATTGCTTAGTCAGAACATGTTTGCTTTGGAGACCCGTGGAATGTGATTCTCTCTCTCCACCCTAACTCGAGGCTGTAAGAGAGACTTTGTTTGAAAAGGCCTTAACATTGCAATGCCTCCCTGCAGGATGACGCCTCCCCTGTTTCATAAAGAATGGAAGGAAAGGCCACCCAAAGGCTGTGAGTCAACTAAGTCACTTAGCTAGAGGTGCTCCAGTTTGCTGGTCCACCGAGTGAACACAGGAACATCATTTCATCTATTGTTTCCAGAAGTTAAAACAGCTCAAAGCCCTATTACAAGCATTGGGTGCCACCACGCTGCCTTCCTTAAGAAGCTCAGAGACCCCATTTATTAGATCTTTTAAATTTTGCCCTGTGATCCAAAGATGAGTTAAGAATAATCTCTTTCTTTCTTTTTATCCAAGTTTTATTGAGCCTTCAATCTTCAGATAAAAATCAGAATCTAGAGGGAATATGCTACCGGATTGTTGCTAATGAATCTCATATAATCGTGGTCGTCAGATCCTGACCTGGGATCAGTATACAGGAAGCCTTTGACTTATGAATGGTCATATTCCTTGAGCAACTGTTCAACAAAGATACAACAGTCCTCAAAAAAGTAACTTATGACCAGTCCCTACACTTATCACCATTACAGCGTCCTTCAGTCACATGATCAAAATTCGAACATAAAGCAACTGGCATGTATTGAGGACACATGCAATCTCCCCCGGTCACATGATCACCATTTGTAACCTTCTCCAATGGATTCCTAGAAACAAAGTCAATGAGGGAAGCTGGATTCATTTAACATGGATGAGATTTGGTTAATGAAAATGATTCAATTAATGATCGTGACAAAAAAGGTTGTAAAACTTGGCTATATGCTTTATAAGAGCTATCATCCATCCATCCATCCATCATCTGTTGCTCCATCCATCCATCCATCCATCCATCCATCCATCCATCCATCCATCCATCTGTTGCTCCATCCATCTGTCCGTTCGTCCATCACCTTTTAGAGAAGATAAAGCTTTCTCTTGTTGAAGAATAATTTCAGTTATCCATATGTGGAACCCCCTGTAGATTCTCTAGAACTTCCATGTCAGTCAGAAGTGACGCTCCCGAGGTCCTTGATTACTAAGATGCCATGATGCAAAGTACAATACAGAAGTTGGGACTGTAAGATGTTTGCATTGCCTCTTCATTACTTTTTATACTTTCAGTTCTTGATAGATCCAACCAGGTTCTTCAGCTCAGGAACAACCCTAAAGTTAACTTCATCTCATTTTAGAAGAAACTTTAAAATACAGGTGTGCTGGTGGTGTGGGACACCCTGCTAAGGAAGGGAATACGAAGCACGAAAACTATTTATTCCTATTGGCATAAATGCCTCACATATACCCAAGTGTTTATTAAGGACAATTGGCTGCTACATTGGATACAGTATACAGAAAATAAAAATAAAAATACATCAGGTAAGACCTCCATGAAACTGGTGAGCAGAACTGGGTGTCATATTGCAAGGAACATTTATGTAAAAAGGACAAAGCGGTTGCAGCACTGTTACAATTGCAATTTTTGGATCTGATGAGTTTTAGCATTGCTTGCCCTGATGCCAGATCAGCCCTTGAGGGTGAAAGAGACTATTTTATAATGAAGACACAAGTCAGCTAGAAAAGAATAAAGTGTGCTGAGAACTGCATTAAAAAAAAAATCTTCAGCACATTATAAATCAGTGCTCTGGACATCTGTAAACTTGAATGGATGATAGCAACTCAGATAAACTGCTTTAGTGCAATATCAGTAGTAGGACTTTAAGCACTTAGGTGAGACTTCATCAGCCCATGATGTGGAACATGGGTATCCAACCTGGTGAGGGTCATGTGGCCATGAAGAATTGTCCCATTCCATCCTACCCTGGCCACTTTAAGACTTGTGGACTTCAATTCTCAGAATTCCCAGTCTGGGGAATTCTGGGAGTTTAGGTCCACAAGTCTTAAAGTGGCCATGGCTGGATAGCCCTGGTGTAGAAGTTGGAGAGGAATCACCACATATGGTTGTTGGGGAAAAAAATGTGGTATGAATCAGCTTACACCTAGGAGGCGATACCTCAACCAGGGGCTGATGACCTTTCTTCGCCTTAACTGCTCCATCTCTCCATTTGAGAAGACCCAAACATTTCAGGAGACCTTCACAAGATCTCCAGATGTTTGGGCAAAATGACTTCCTTGTTTCAAGGTTGGGATCTTTATTGGTGAGATGAAGCAAACCGCGAAGGAACTTGGATCAGAATGATGGCTATGGGAACTGTGAGCCTTTCTGAACATGGATTCAGTGAAAACTAGATGGTGAATGAGTCCTTCAATACTTCTGAGCAGGACCAAAGATTGTTGTAGCCTCCTCCTACAATGAAGAAGTCCTGGCCTGGAAAGTTGTGGAGGCTAGCCTGTTCATTTCCCACAATGCCCCAATGCAATGCCGACACCAGGCATAGTGGGAAATGTAGACGACAGTGCCGCTAAGTTGACACAGCAGCGACTTCCTCTTGAAGTCACATTGCCAAGGATTTCCTCTCTTCAGGATTTGTCCCAGCTCTAAATTTTTATCCAGAAACATCTAAAGGACCAGTCTTGACTTCAACACTTCCTCAAAACCTTTCAGAAGAGGTCTCCCCACCACCACCCCAACTGTGGTGGATCAAAGAAGCTTTCTGGAACTGAATCCTTCTGACTCAACATCATTCCTGTTTGAGAAAGGGCACCGCCAAGGTGTATAATTTTATACCACTGATTTGAAAGTCTCAAAGACCAGGTTAACATTACCCGTCTCCCCTCCACCCCAAGTGTAACGTGGCAGCTCAAGAAGTCCACTCAAGAGTAGGGTTGACCAGGACATCTACAAGGAAGAAGACTTTGAATGAAGGCAGCTGATGGAAGGGGCTTTATGGGGGGGGGGAGAGACTCAAGCAGGACTTCCTTCAGGCACAAGTGGCTTCTTGGCTGTCCAAAGGAATCTCGTTGCCATAGCTGCCATCCCCGTACTGACAATATGGAGGTATCTGTGGAGCTTCGATGATCAGCAGCCCTTCGGGGGACAAGGAGGCAAAGACGGTGGTGGGGTCCACTTCCACGGGAAGCCTGAGGAGCACAAGGAGGGGAAAAAAATTACATGGAAGGTCTTCCCAGTCTCAAACAAGGCTTCTTTCTGTTGTCTCTTTGACAAAGATAGAAATAACAATAGAATTTGGATCCGTAAAGATAGTCCTCGACTTATAACGGTTGGTCTAGGGACCGTTTGAGGTTACAACAGCCCTGAAAAAGGGGACTTATGACCGTTTTTTTTTCACACTTACGACCGTCACGGCCTCCCCAGGATCACGTGATCAAAATTCAAACACTTGGCCACCAACTCATATTTATGACGGTCGCAGCGTACTGGGATCACGTGATCCCCTTTTGCGACCTTCTGACAAGCAAAGTCAATGGGGAAGCCAGATCCACTTAACAACCGTGTTACTAACTTAACAACTGCAGTGATTCATTTAACAATGGTGGCAAGGAAAGGTCGTAAAAGGGGGAAAAAGTCACTTAATGACCGTCACGCTTGGCAACGACAATTTTGGGCTCAGCTAGAGTGGCAACTCAAGGACTACCTGTAATGTTGACTTTTCATAGCTGTCATATCTTCAGTAATCACGGTTATAATAAAAAAATGAAAGGAAAGGAAAAACATAGCGGCAAATCTTATTTTATATTCCCAGGAACTGTACCGTACTTCAGGAGGATAATCCAAAGCCTATTTTCCTTAGGACTAAATCTCATGGGATTCGGTAGCATTTATAATAATAATAAAGTTGGAAGGGACCTTGGAGGTAATTTAGTCCAACCCCCTGCTCAGGGAGGAAACCCTACACCATTTCGGACAAATGGCTGTCCAGTCTCTTCTTAAAAACTTCCTGTGTTGAAGCATTCACCGCTTCTAGAGGCAGGTTGTTCCACTGGTTAATTGTTCTAACTGTCAGTTCTAGGTTGCTTCTCTCCTTGGTGAGTTTCCCTCCATTGCTTCTTGTCCTGCCTTCAGGCACTTTGGAGAATAGCTTGACTCCCTCTTCTTTGGGGCAGCCCCTGAGATACTGAAACACAGCTATCATGTCCCCCCTCGTCCTTCTCTTCATTAAACTAGACATACCCAATTCCAGCAGCCGTTCCTTATTCCAGATAAAGAGGCCGCAATCATACCGGATGTGAACAAAAGACAATTCCTGTGTCTATGCTTTTGATTTGATTTGTGTGACTTCACCGTCTGACACACAAGAGAGAATGCCTCGAAGGATAAACCATTAAGAGCTGTGGATAAGGTCACTGAGTATGCTGGATTTCTGGAGCAGGTTAAAACACCAACTCCCTGTGAACCTTGTTTAATGTATTTTGTGAGTCCAGCCTTGTGTTAATCTTCAAAGAACCAGAATGGAAACACCGTGAAATCTTTGGGGAACCTTCTTATCTACAGCTTCATCCTTTCTAATGATTAATGAGGTTTTAGCAGGCACCGGGACCTTGGCTGATCTTCTCTGGCCTTAGAAGCTAAACAGGATGGGCTTGTTAGTACTTTGATAGGGCATCCTCAGGGGATCTAGAGGTCATAGCTACACAGAGATGTGGAAAGAAACATCCCTGGAAAAAAAAAGATACTGCCAAGGACATCTTTGGGCCACAGAATTCACCAAAAGCTGAGATTGACCGGAAGAAGCCTTTATGTACAAAATGAATCATGAAATATCCTTGATAACAAATCCACTTTCTTTAGCTTTAAAGCAGGGATGTCTGACCAGGGACAATTTTAAGACTTGTGGACTTCAACTCCCAGAATCCCCTAGCCAGCCAGCATGGCTGGCTGGGGAATTCTGGGAGTTGAAGTCCACAGGTATGAAAGTTGCCAAGCTTTAAAGCTTAATTAAGGAAGATACAAAGGAAAGGTTTATTTTGCGGGGTTTTGTTTCTTTCAACCTCCTAACGTTGTAGCTCAAACTTTGGGTTAACTCTGAGTAAATTCCTTGGCAAGCAGGTTTGGCCAGATGCCTTTTCAAAACACCAGCATGGGGGTAAGAATATATTGCCCTAATATGGAACTCTTAATGAAACTCAGGATTCCACACCTATGCTGGCTTAGCTCTTTATAACCCTTTGCATGTTGTCCTTTCCAAATAACCCTTCCAGCCTGGAACAGATTACAGGGAGTCCTTGATTTATGACTACAATTAGGAGCAGAATAAAAGAGTTGGAAGGGACCTTGGAGGTCTTCTAGTCCAACCCCCTGCTCAGGCAGGAAATACCATTCCGGACAAATAACTGTCTCTTCTTGAAAACCTCCAATGTTGGAGCACCCACAACTTCTGGAGGCAAGTTGTTCCATTGATTAATGGTTCTAAATGTCAGAAAATTCCTTCTTAGTTCTAGGTTGCTTCTCTCCTTGGTTAGTTTCCATCCTTTGCTTCTTGTCCTGCCTTCAGGTGCTTTGGAGAATAGCTTGACCCCCCTCTTCTTTGTGGCAGCCCCTCAAATATTGGAAGACTGCTATCAGGTCACCCCTAGTCCTTCTCTTCCTTAGGCTGCCCATATCTACTTCCCTCAATCGTTTGTCATATGGCTTAATAGAAATATATTAGGGACTGACGGCATGTTGTCCAGTGTTCCTCATATTTCTGCTGGATCCGAGCCTTCACATGAGGGATGACGTTGCTCTCCAACACTTCGAAAAGCTTCATCTGAACAGTGACCCCTTCTCCCCCTCCCCATTGGTTCCCCAGTTTGGGAGAAGAGAGAAAGTTCTGGATGGACCTCCGAAGCGTAAGAGTAAACAAGCATCTGGAAGCACCATTAGGCTAGGATGCAAAATAAATCACAAAACATGTTGATGAGTCACCAATTCTCGGGTGACTCGGCAGCTGAGCCCGTCCCAGCTCACCCATCTGCCTTCCAAAATCCCCCTTCCTTTCCTATAAACCCACAGGCAGTGTGAACTTCAACATATGATGCATTTTTTGAGCCCAGCCCTAGACTGTACACAGAGGGCTCTAAAATAACTTTTGCAGAACCGAGCAGATACGAAGTGCCAACGGTTTAAAATTAAGCAGCGTGTCCTTTCGTTTTCTCCCCTCGTTTTCCCCCCTCCTCTTTTAATATTACAATTTGGGCTTGGCAATGTCTGGCTTTTTAAAATATGGGGAGGGTTGACTTTCTGAAGTTACAACAGCGCTGAAAAAAAAGTGACTTTTTCACACTTACAACCGTTGCAGGTATCCCCACGGTCACGTGATCAAAATTCAGACGCTGGGCAACCGGTTCATATTTATGACGGTCACAGTGTCCTGGGGTCATGTGATCCCCTTTTGCAACTTTTTGACAAGCAAAATCTATGGACTTTGACAAGGGCTTGTGAGAAGGATGAGCAGGGAACGAAGGAAAGCTTGCATTTCTCAAATACATTCTTTTGCTAGAACGTCAGTACATGAACTCAGCGAGTAGCTGGGACATACCAGTCGGTGAATTAACTCCAGGGGTAGCTGGGAGATACCCAAATTGAAAAATGCAAGCTGAAACAAAGGAACCCATTTCTCTGAAGGGCTGGCAAACGGCTGGGAGTGTGTGACTTTCAGGATGAAAGATTAGAAGAGGATGCGACCTATTTTTGACTTTGGCATTTGAGGTTTAAACATGATCTTTGGATCAGGTTTAAACGGGGGGGATTCTGGGAGTTGAAGTCCACGCATTTCAACCTTGTCATGGGTGAGACACAGCGCTCTGACTTAATACACTAAAAGAGCAGAAGAGATATATATATATTTATATATATATAAATTATCACCCATGACTGAACACAGAGCTGCTGGAAAGAAATGCTAATTTTCAGAAATGCTTACTGTATTTTCTTGGTGAAATTCTTGGAAACAATCCCTCCTTCTGCTTGTTGTTCTTCATGTTTACCTGCCAAAATAAATAAATATAAATATAAATAAATTCAGGGTTTCTTTTCCCCCCAGGTAGCACTCTTCAAACTCACTTAACTTGTCCAATGCCTTATTTTAAGTTTTTTTTTAATTAATGCTGTTTGAAATCCCCCATCCTGAAACTTTAATTACTGATATTGAATTCTTAAGAGTTTTATTGTCATCTGTCTCTCATTCATTTCTGGGGTTTTTAATACACGCTACCCATTCTCGACTAATGATCAAGATACAAATATTAGTGGAAACATGAAATAAGCATTTGATTCTCTGAAGACATTTTGTCTGATCCCTTAAAACGTTTTCTGGTTTTGGTTAATCAGCTGAGGAACTTTGGATGAAGAGGAATTGCAACCAAAATTGTGGTGTTGCATAGCGCACAGGCATCTGAACTCAGAGCTAGTTAACCCTGGTTTACTAAAGTTATTTAGCAATGAAGTTCACTGGTTGCCCTCCAGCATCTCACCAGTCTAGTCCTCAGTGAGGCAACCTACCTGGGTTGTGTGGAGCCCCTTGGCTAAAAAAGTTTCCTTATCACCAAGGACAATTGTAGGTTACATAACGAAAACTGGGCTATCCAAAGAAGCAATAGCTTTATTTTATTTATTACATTTTAACTTTGCATTTTAAAAAAAAGCCTTCTATTAGGATGCTAATTTTCTGGGCATAAAAAATATTTTTTTCCAAGGAAGCATAACAGATTGTGAATTTTACTCTGCAGGCAACTGAGATAGCTGCTTCCATTTAACTAAACCCCTGTCTTTCAAAGAAATCTATTTCAATTGAAATTTGATGCCATGAAAGAAAATAGAGTTATAAAATACTGTATGTTGCACTGGGGGCTATATTACTAATGGCTGATAATGGCTAACATTTGGTGTTCTCAACCTGGCTCCTGTTTTAAGGGATTGTAGCTTTAAAATGCAGCATTTTTAAAAATTGCATTATATAAATTTTAAATGCCAGTGCTTCAGAACCCTGCAAATGGGCTTTCTTCCTGCTTAGGGTTGTTTTTAACAAAAATGTGGGCTCAAGATTTCATTAAAAACGCTCGTTCCACCCAGCACTAAAGCTCTGCCTGATTTTATGTATTTTAACTGGAGCATTTATTTGTACCTTTTCAACTACCTCCAGAAAGAAGAGGAAGGGAAGGAGAGGAAGGAGGAGGAGAAGAAAAAGGGAAAGAAGAGGAAGGAGAAGAAGGAAAAACAGAAAGAAAGGAGAAGGGAGGCAAGTAGAAGATAGAGAAGAAGCAACAGATAGGAAAAGAGAAGGAGAAGGAAGAAGGAAGGAGTAAGGAAGTAGAAGGAGGAAAAGCATAAACAGAAGGAGATGGAAGGAGAGGAAGAGAAGGAAACAGAAAAAGGAAAGGAGGAGAAGGACAGAGAACACATAGAAGAAAAATAGTAAAAAAAGGAGAGGGAAGACAGAAAGAGTAGGAGATAGAAGGAGGAGAAGTAGGAAAAAGGGGAAAGAGAGGGAGGAGGAGGAGGAGGAGGAGAAGAAGAAGAAGAAGAAGAAGAGGAAGGCTGAGATTCCAGGAACAGCTGCAGTCTGAGGTAGTACTGTAAACATCCAGAAATTGGGCACCGAATGGCATTCACTGGCAAGAGCTGGGCTGCTGGCAAATGGCCAGGCTCTATTTTCTTCCCTGCCAGCTTCTGGCCATGACGCAGGGGAACGAGAGGCAAACAGAAAGAAAGTAAAAGCTGGGTTTTTCCAGATACTCCTTTGCATTTGTAGGTTGAGAAACTGGGGTACAGTCAGGGGAGAAGCCTTTAAGCCCTCCCTGAAAATCTCTAGGAGGAGAAATAAAATAAATATAAGCCACCTTGTAGGGGGCGGCGGGCGGCATAAAGGTATAAAACATAAATGCCAAGCCTCAAAATTTGGATCACGTGGCCATGGGCATGCTGCGATGGTCGTTAAGTGTGAAAAACAGTCACCGGTTACTTTTTGGAGCGCTGCTGTAACTTCCGACGGTCACTAACTGAACTGTTATAAGCCCAGGACTCTCCGTAGTTCTCTCCCTATCCGCTGTTCCCCAACTGGAGCTGCGTCATTCGAAGCTTCGGATGACATCAACCCAAAAGCTGAAATTTGGCTGCCACCAAATTATATTGTAGATGGTGCAGAAGAGAGTAATTATAAGCATGAATGGAAACCCAGCCTAGTAATTTGGGGGTCTGTGTCTTCTAATTGACTCTTAATTTGATCGTCCAATTCAGCTTGATGCGCTCGGAAGGATCAATTCCAATCCGACAGCAAAAATTCCATTCAGGAAGTCAACAGAGCCTCTGCATTGCCCTAATATTAATTACATTTAAATTTCACGTAAACTAATTAGGGTTCTTTTTTATTCCACAACCAGGTGCATCTGGAGAAGGCGAACTGAGAAGTGGTAGTGGAATGTCCATTTTAATTAATCCGTACAGTAAGTATCCATAAATATAACCCATGTAAACAAAAGCTCTTTTGGGTGTCCTTGATAATTAAAAAAAAAAAAGGGAGAAAAAAGTCCAAGAAAGGTTGATCTAGAAAGGAAGACAAAGGAGGGCAATGGATTGCGTTGGCGGTGGATTGGAAGACAAAGCGAAAATCATGCGTGGTAAAAGAAGGGATCCATTTTACAGATGGGAAAACCGAGACTGAGGAAAAAAACAAACAATTGTGGATATTTTGCACTCAAAATATCACCTATATTGAATAAATGAGATGCATACCTATGCCTGCAGAGAGAGATAAAATTAAGACCAAAAAAAGTAGTATCTTTGGATATTTTTCTTAAGGAAGAATACTTGGCTCAGATTTATTCAAATACCCAATAAACTTTGTGGACAAAAGAGTTACCTAACCAGAAAGACCACACATGTTGTCTAACCACACTAATGCAGGATTAGACAGTGAAATGACAAAGTTGGGTCTTGTCAGCAAAGTTTTCGAAACTTAACCACACGGCTGATTGCGCATAATCACGTGCCAAACTCCTGCAAAGTTTATTGGTTTTATTCTCCTGCTAGGAAACTGGCAGCTCTTAAAAGGGAGAGGATCAACAAATGTTGAGTTTCTTGGGGTTTGCTCAAACTTTACTAACCATGGGTTTTCTTTTTATAAATAGACAAGGGGGGGGGGTCCTTTTCTACGCCACGGCACAGCAAGAAATACATTCTGGATCCTTCTGGTTTCTCCTGATTTTTCAATTGTTAAAACAACACATTGGTGACTTGCAAATGAAGGTATAAGGAGAGAGATGTTACTATTTCCCTGTACCATGGTTTGATCTTAGGATAGGGTCAAAAAAAGTCAGAATGACAGTGGTAACCGTGCCATCAAAACCTCTCCCCCCCCTTTTTTTAATATTCGTTACAATACTATTATTTCATCCAGATGAATCTGTAATCTTCCTTGGGAGGCTTTCAAGATTCTGTTATTCTCTGTGATTTATTAACTAAAGTAAAATTGTCTGGGTTTAGACAAATACACTAAGCTATATTAATCATGGTTAACACCGTGCCTGTGTTCTCACAAGCCCCTAAACTTGAATCGTGCAAAATTTCCCACTAGTTTAGCATGTTGCAGCAATTGGAATTACTAAAATTATTTATAGTTGTGAGGAAATATTATATATTCGTCTGTTTTTACTATGTTCATAATCTCTCTCTCTCTCTCTCTCTGTTTCTCTCTCTGTGTGTTTCTCTCTGTGTGTATTTCTCTCTCTGTGTGTGTTTCTCTCTCTCTCTGTTTTTCTCTCTCTCTATTTCTCTGTTTCTCTCTGTTTCTCTCTCTGTTTTTTTCTCTCTCTCTATCTCTTTGTCTCTGTCTGTCTGTCTGTCTGTCTGTCTGTCTGTCTGTCTCTCTCTCTCTCTCTCTCTGGAATTCCTGGGGACTTTGCACCATTGACTCTCTCAGCCCAAAACCAGACTGATGAAGTGGGGAAGCACCCAGAAGACTCCAGTTGAAATCCCCTTTGAGCTATGGACACCAACTTCCTGCTTGATCAGGGGGATGGACTAGAAGACCTCCAAAGGTTCCTTTCAACCCTATGTGCGATGCCAGTGCTGTCCGACCTTGGCCACTTTAAGACCTGTGGACTTCAACTCCCAGAATTCTCCAACCAGCCCTGCAAACCCAGGCCAGCTGGGGAATCCTGGGAGTTGAAGTCTTAAAGTCTTAAAGATGGCCAAGGGTGGACCCTTTCTTCTACGTTCCAACTGTCTCTTTCTCTCAGCCTGACCTCCCTCAGGGGTTCGTCATTGGGACCCTACTGGGGGGCAGGAAGAACACAACCTCCCTTGAGCTCCTGAGCAAAAAGCCCTCTCCCCAAAACCAACCTCACACACAAACCGACAAAGACGCACCCCACGAAACCCGTTTCTTACCTGACACTTCCACGTAACCATCCTTGGTCTTGACCGAGAGCTCTTCGGGTTTAAAACTCTGGACGTTGACGCAGACTTTCCAGGGCTCTCCCGAGAAGGTCGGTGGGCTGGATCCAAAGGGATCCCCTTCAGGGTGAACCCCAAAGCGAGAGCCATACCCCGGAGGGGAGAATCCACTGCTCCGGACCATCCCTGACCTCAGTGGACTTGCCCAGCCTGCGGTCAGGGGCGAGCGGGCCCAATCCGGCCAGTTGGCAGTCAGGTCGCCGGGAAAAGGAGACATGTTAAAGTCATCGTCCAGAAGCCGAGAGGACAAGCTGGATTCCCTGAAGGGATCTCTGAGATTCCGATGCCGGCCAGGGTAGCACGAGAAAGGGATCTGGTTGTCAGCCATTCTGGGAGAGGTTCACCCGGAGAAACGAAAAGCAGAATCAAAAACAAAAGAGAGGATGTTTTCCAAGAGAAAGAAAGAAAAATCTGAATTCCACAATCTTGTCCCGAGCACAACTTTTCTACAGGGCGAAAATAAAACCGTTTGCCCACTTCGAAGAAGCTTCTTGGAAGAGAAGCGAAACGTCTTCAAGGAAAAACCAAGTCCAGTCGCCTTTTCAAAAAAAAAGGGGGAAAAAGCACCTTTGGGACTCCTTCAGAATCAGCCTGGCACTGCTTCAAAGCCCCCCAAAATGAAGAAAAAAGAAGAAGCAGCTCCAGGCTGCCCTTTTGCTCCAGATTTAAACCACTCCGGTGCCAGACAGAAGCTTAAATCAACTGCCTTGTGCCAGCCGAGAAAGTTCTATAAACTTCCAAAATGCGACTGCCCCCTATTTATATGCAAGGCTCCAGAGCTGGTGTGTGTGTGTGTGTGTGTGTGTGTGTGTGTGTGTGGATTGGCAAAAGAGGAGGCGAGTGTCGCAATTCCACCCTGCCAGCCGTATTTTTGGAGATTGTGAAGCAGGCTGACCTCATCCCGAAGGGATGGCTTTGCTAAAAGGAATGCCAAGTTTAGACGGGCTTGGCTCTCGTTTTCATCCCTCCCTCTTTCCCTCCCTCCCTCTTTTTTTTTTTTCCTTTTGGCAGTGTGATCTTAGCAAGCAGCCTATTATTAGCTTAGGGTGTCAGGCCTGCCTCTTTGTGCTGGATTTTTCTCTAATCCTTGGACTTTGGAGAGAGAGAGAGAGAGAGAGAGAGAGAGAGAGAGAGAGAGAGAGAGAGAGAGAGAGTTTTCCTGCTCTTGATTTACACTACCTTTCCATGATCTTCAATGGGTCCTTCCTGATGGATCAAACTCCAAGCAACGCTGTTTCTCTACCACTTGATCTGCATCTAATTCTTTTCCCCAGCTTGGCATTCTGAAGGGATCGTGAAAACTTCACTAGAAATATCTTGAATGCTTTGGAAGGGAAAGACTCCCAAAGCATTCAAGATATTCCCAATGAAGCTTTCAAGATACCTTAGTCTTTCCCTCTCCCTTTCGTTTATTGGAGGGATTTTTGTAAATAAAGGCATGGATTATATTTCTTTTCTAAATTTCTTCCGAGAACACAAAGGCCCAGGTGGGCCACAACGGCTGCCAGTGTCACACACAGCACCCAGGGAGCCACAAAACTGCCTCTGCTTTTCCATTTTTAATCTCCTGGAAGGATAAACAGCATGAAATATGGGCTTGGGGGATCAGCCTACCTAATTTTAATTTGAAATGAAGTGAAGTGGAATGAAACTTCACTTTTATTTCCTCTTGTGATCTGCTTTCACCTGCTCCCAGTTCTTTATTGTCTGGATCCTGGCCCCTGGCACAGTTATTTCTGAATTACGGAGAAGGTCGAGCAACTTGATCCCGAAACTTTAGACACCATAGAGGATTATCCATTTCTTCCGCCAACGCGGAAATAAATCGCTGCACATCAAGCGGGCAGGTAGGAGATGAAGCACATCTGATCCAGGTTGTCCTCAACTTCTGACCACAACATTTCTGTAGCTAAGCAAGACACTTGTTAAGTGGGTTTTGCTCCACTTTATGACCTTGCTTGCCCCAAATTGTCCAGTGAATCACTACGGTTGTTAAGTTAGTGACAGGGCTGTGAAGTGAATCTGGCTTTCCCATGGACCTTGTCAGGAGGTCACAAAAGGGGATCACATGAACCCGGGGACACTGCGACGGTCACAAACATGAGTCGGTTGCCAAGCATTTGCATTTTGATCACGGGACGGTGGAGATGCTGCAACAGTCCCAAGTGTGAAAAACGGTCATAAGTCACTTGTTTCAGGACTGTTGTAACTTTGGTCATTAAATGAACATAAAACGAGGACCACCTGTATAACTTTACTGAAGACTCCAGAAGTAGAAAAGCCAGTTCTAACAGTTTCGCACGAAAACAGCATAGGAAAACTTTCCCTTTTCTCCTCTCCCCTGGACCTCTCCACCTCTCGTTACAGTTGTCTAGTTGTTGTGTAGCGAGGCAACCATGACAGGTATAAGGAAACCCGTCCCCATTTTGCACAATGGCACATGCAACTTTAAAGCTAGAAGATGTTTGTGTGAGTTATTGCACTCCTTAACCAATCCCCTTGCAAATCCAGGTAAGCTACTGGCCTTCAAGTCATCTTGTGGCAGAGAGTTGTATTGAGTTCATGATGCTTTGCGTGTCGCAACAGGCGAGTGGGTGGGGGCACTGCTGAAGCTGCCTAAGGGCCTCCTAAACCAGGGAGGACAACAAACACCAGCAGTTATGCAATATAACAGCTGTGGTTCAAGGAGTCCATTTTCCATGAATTTTCTTTCCAGTCTGGAATAATTAATTTGCAAGCTAACTTTGGGAGCATCCTAAACCAAGCTAAGTCCCCCCCTCCCCCCAAAAATGCTGGGGAATTCCTGAAAGCTTGGTATTCAGACAAAACAGCCATCAATAAACACATAGAGATAAACCACATTTACACACCATTCAAAAGAGGCAATAAAGAAGACCAGGACATATGGTTTCCAGCGGCAAAAACCCAGATAAATGGGGAGTAATCCCAGACAAACAATCAAGCAGAAAGTAATATCCTAATCAAGGAACTACCAAGGAGAAAACCACATCCCCACCGGCAGAGTGAGCTACTGTATATAAAGAGGGAGAAAACCCCACACTCACCAGCACTCATGATGTAACCTAGTTGGGTAATGAAACATCTACGAGAAAACAACCAAGCTCAGAGAGCACCAAGGACCCCACAGTCCTCCTCCTCCTCAACACTGATGATGTTATCTAGTTGGGTAATGAAACATCTACAAGAAAACAACCAAGCTCAGAGAGCACCAAAAACCCCAAGTTAGTCTTATGGATAATTCCTAATTTGGGCTCCTTCCACACGTATGCACCACAATTCCTAGAATTCCCCCAGCCAGCATAGCTATTGCTAAGCATTCTGGATACTGAGATGCCTGCAACTAGCTAAATTGAGAAACCGTGACTTCAGGTATGAAACAAGATCTGGATTAAGCACCATTCTTAAGAATCTGACTTCACTCATTTATTTTAGGACCGTCTATCACCAGACAGCCTCAAAAAAAGCTCTTGACGTTGCCCCCCCCCCCAATTTTACCAGTCAGCATCAGTCAGAAAGGATCTCAAGTGGCTGGCCGTGGCTTAGGCTTGTAAGCTAGAAAAAAAAGCCAGAGAATGTATTCAGAGCAGAAACAGATCATAAAGGCAAAAAAACACATAAACCAGGGCGATGTCTGAAGGGATATTTTCGCGAATTGATTTTTGCAAAGTACTTCTGTTAAGTGGAGCAGTGCAGCTGCTTTCCGAGGTTTTTTGTTTTTGTTTTTGGTTTTGCAAATCTGCCAGATTTGCATCCTCTAAAATGGATTCCGCTTTATTTTTTATTTTTTAAAAAGACCATCTCATCAAAAGGAAGATACAAAGGACAGATGTCCTTCAATCTCTGCTTAAAGATAATGCCTATGATCATCATATGTGCAGGAACAGAAATGCAGTATGGTACAATATAGGAACCCTCGACTCACAACCGTTCATTTAATGAGTGTTCAAAGTTACAACAATAATGAAAAAAGGGACATGGGACCGTTTTTTCACCCTTACAACCATGGCAGCATTCCCCCCCCCATGGTCACATGATCAAAAAATTGGGATGCTTAGCAACTGGTTGCAACGGTCATAAAGATGAACCAAGTGGAACGACTTGCCTCCAGAAGTTGTGGGTGCTTCAACACCGGAGATTTCTTTGTCTGAAATGGTATAATAAGGTTTCCTGCTTGAGCAGCGAGCGGGTTGGGCTAGGAGACCTCTAAGGTCCCGTCCAGCTCTGTGATTCTGTGAAAGAGGGGACTGTGGGCCTTCCAGAGGCTGAAAATCTTATCCCGCAGCTCTTATCAATCTGTTTATTTGTAGATAAGCCAAAAACATTGCAAAACACACGAACCTCCCAGAAGCTCATTTCAAAGCTGCATCAAAGCTGAGCTGGATCAACCGCTCAGGACGTCCCACAGATTAAAAATTGGCCTTGGGGCCAAAGCAATCGATTGTTATTCCCCCATTAGGAGAGGCACCAACACCAAAGGGTATTTTCCTTGCAAACTGTGGGAAAAGGTGGAGTCCATCCATAAACACCGAAAGGCTTTGCTCTACATTTGATGGAGAAGATAAGAGGAGCTGGAATGCTGTTGCCGATCCAATCAATTCCTCTGAAAAAGCTTTAAGCACAGATCTATCTTTGCGGTAGGGCATTCAATTCACTTGAGATCACATGGGAGATCATTACTCTTCGGAGAGCATCACCTCCCAATTCTACTGAAGACTGGGAAACACCGTTCTAAGGTTGTGAGAATGCAATCCCAGGGATTCAGAAGAAGTCCTTGGTTCAGAAGTCATCTCATTCATCTTCCAGATGTTCAATTCCATCCTAAAATTTGGGGGTTTATCTGTCCCCTCCCATGGCACTTTAAGACAATTACATCTGTCTTATACTTCTAAAAACAGCACGCTTTAATATTGCAGCAATCTCGGTTTCATTTGCGAGAAGATGCTTAGGAAGTATGAGCTGGAGAGTTTCTATGAGACTTGTGAAACTGACTGAAAGAAAAGGACTGGCCAACCAGATATTAATTATTGTGTACATGGGAAATAGATGAGCATGCAAGCAATCTGCTAAGAGCACAGGGGTGTGGACTCTTTGATCTCTGCTTCCCTCAGGGGACTGAGGCTAGAGAAGGAATTGATTTTTGTTTTTTTTAAGCAACAAGATGCGCAGACATGAAGAAACACTGGTTTGAACCTAGCCTAGACCAAAAAACCATAGAAGGCACCAAGATTACTTCATATTTTGCTACGTTCTTGGTAATTCTGGAACCTCAGTCAAAGTTAGTAACCATTGTTTTTTCCCTGTGGCTATTCAACCAAAATTCCATTTTGGAATGCTGTGATCCCGATGGACAGGATTGTAAAGAATTCCAGGAGAGATCATGCCCAGCCTGGGGAAGCTTATCGTAGATTGATCCACGTTCTGAATTTCCTAACCAAAGGCCAAGAACTACAGGGCAATACAATTTTGGAAAGACCTCAGAGGTCATCTAGTCCAGACCTTATACCGTTCCAAACAAATCCCTGTCCAATCTCTTCTGGAAAACCTCCCACAACTTCTGAAGGCAAATTGTTCCACTAATAGTTCTTATTGACCCTCTGCTTTCCTTCTGTTGCCTCCCAAAGCATGTACAGCCATAAGTGTTTTTGAGCACTGATGCTTTCTTTGCGCAGATGTTCCACCGAGTGGCAATGAGACATACTCCTGGAATTAACTGAGGGGATGAATTTCAAGTCAACATTAGAGAAAGGACAAGAAAAATACTCTTATGTTGACAATCCTGTTTGAATTGGGAGGGGCAGGCTAGGGAGCGGAGACAGAGCTTTTGAACCTTCCTAAACAATGGGTGCAAACCTCAGGATTACATCTGGTTTCTGACGTCTCCTGTCTGCCTCTCTTGCAAGCCAAACAGTGATCTAGTTTGAATGTACCTTTTTTACAATTCAAGTGGAGCCTTTGTCTAGTAGAAATCCATTAATTAAATTAAATCAATTAAAAACCACCCATTACGTTTGTTTTTCAAGTAATGTCTCCATCTTAGTTCAGCCCAGACATGGATTCGTTCCATAAAGCCACGGGCACATTGCAAAAGAAAAAGAAAAAGAAAAAAAACCTCTTCCATCAGATTCAGCTTCACCCAAAGAAATGGAATGGCACCTATGTGGGCAAACCTCCTCCCTGATCCTAGGTTAAAAATGTCCTTGGCCATCAAAAGTTTGCCCATAGCAAAATTTGCCCAGTTTGGCAAAGAATCCAAATTGCAAATAAGCAATTTTTTTTTTAAAAAAAAAGATCTTTCTTCTTAACATTTGTCTGAAATAAAATAGAATAGAGCTGGAAGGGACCTTGGAGGTCTTCTAGCAGGAGAATGTTATAGGGTTTCCTGCCTGGGCAGGAGGTTGGACTAGAAGACCTCCAAGGTCCCTTCCAGTCCAATGACGCTATGATTCTAATGTGAACAAAAAAATATGGGTAAGTTAGGCAGATAAATAATGTTCCAACTATTGCTGGAAAACCACTGGACTAACTGGATTAACACAGGCTGGAAAGAAACAGAAAACCCCAGCATTTTCCAGAATGTTATTATTTGCATGACCTGATTTAATCCTTGATAAGAGCCACCAGGCTAGAAGCTGGGAGTCTGGAGTTCTAGTCCCAGCTTAGGCACCAGCCCACCTCGGGCCAGTCACTCTTTCTCAGCCCTCGGAAGGAGGCAATGGCAAGCTACTTCCGAAATCTTGCCAAGAAAACTGCAGGGGCTGGTCCAGGTTGACACCTGAAGTCAACTTTGGCTTAAATTGGACGCAAAAAAGTGTTGTTAATCATGACCCTCTCTAATAAAATCAGTAGTGGATCATCTGTTCATCCTTTTCTCCCTGTACAAGACGTCTTCCCTTTAATTGCACGATATAAAGCCAGCCAGCTTTTTAATATTCTTTTCCTCAATGCAGAGGAAGCAAAATTCAGCTCGAACTATCCCTGGCCTTCCAAAGGTCAAATTAAACAAGAAGTCTTATAGCTCCTTTCATCTTTGCTTCTCGGTAATAACAGGGCAGCCTACTACACAATCAACACACATCACCATGATCCCTGTGTTCCTTTGAAAACAGGAGCATGGATGTCCTAGTTTTGGTCAAGAAAGGGTTGGAATGCTTCTTCTAGGTTTCTATGTTAGGTGGAAGGCCAGATTTGAGGAACCAAGAACTTCGTCATATGTGTGTGTGTGTGTGTGTTAGCATTTTATTATTTTATTATTTTTCTTTTCGTTATTTTTATTTCTTCAATACGGTGTTTTAATACCTGGGTAAGCCGCCTTGAGTTGCTATGTGTGAGTAGGCAGCAGTATAAATTTTCTAAAAAAAATAAAATGAAATAATAAAATGATAAAGAATAAAATACAATAAATAATAACATAAAATAACAACATAAAATAAAATAATAAAATATAAAATGAAATATTAAAAAATGAAATGAAATGAATTGAAATGAAATGAAAATAATAAAATGAAATAATAAAATAATAAAGAATAAAATAAGATAAAGTAATAAAATATAAAATAAAATATTAAAAATAAAAAATGAAATGAAATGAATTAAAAAAATAAAATAAAATACAATAAATAAAATAAAATAAAAAATAGGACTGTTTTTCACACTTAACAACTGTTGCAGCCTCCCCATGGTCATGTGATCAAAATTCAGATGCATGGCAGCTGGCTCGTAGTTATGACGGTCGCAGCGTCCCAGGGTCATGTGACCCCTTTTTGCAACCTTTTTTTTACAAAGCAGAGTCAATGGGGAACGCTGGATTCACTTAACAACCGGGCTACTAAATTAACAGTTTCAGTGATTCACTTAACAACTTGTCTCACTTAGCAACATAGCGTTGGGGCTCAACTGTAGTCGCAAGTCGAGGATTACTTGCACGGTGTCCTTTCCCTCCAAATGACAAAACTGATGTAGAGCAGAGCTGCGTGTTTTAATGCTGTATATACATACCTGTTGAACCCGCTTCGTTTTTTTGTTTTTTCAGTTCGTCCCAGGTCAACCAGGTGCCATCTTTGAAACCTGGAGATGGCAAAGATATTTTTCTTCTCCTACTCTTTGTGGCTTTGGAAAGGCCCACCGCATTGAACCGTCGAAATCCAAAACGCCAGGCAATTTTATAGGAATTTAGGCTTCTGCATTAATCCGCATCTCAGGTTGCGCCCAAAGTACATTTAAATTGCTCCACAATTATCTGCCTGGCACAACCACACTCACACCTGCTGCTTTGAGAGGAGCAGCCGAAAAAGCTGGTTCTGCTCGTTCCTCTTTTTCACCGTTGGCACTCGATGGGTGCCAGCCTGTAGAGGTGCCACGCAACTTCCCGCTGGCCACAAAGCCAGAATAAAGGCAGTTTGTTTCAAAATCATTCCACCATGAGCTGGTTTGGAGGGGGTGCCGTTACCCAGATGTGGGGAGGGAAGCCCCCCTGGAATTCCTGACTTAAAGTCATTGCTCAAGGTAAGGGGGGGGAGACTTAACATCTGGGGAGGTAGGAAACGGTATTGCACTTAAATTGCAAAAAAAATTGAATCGCGGGTAGCCCCCGTCTTATGACAACTGAGCCCCAATTTCCGTTGCTAAGCCAGACAGTGGTTAAGTGAGTTAAGTTTTACCTTTCTCGCCACAATTGCTAAGCGAATCATCGCAGGTGTGACATTGGCAACCTGGTCGTTAAATGAAGCTGGCTACCTCATTGACTTTGCTTGTTAGAAGATGGCCAAAGGGGATCACGTGACCTTCCGGTGCTTTGGAGAAGAGGTTGACTCCTCTCTTCCTTGTGACAACCCCTGAGATATTGGAAGGCTGCTATCGCGCCCCCCCCCCCCAAGTCCTTCTCTTCATTAAACTAGACACACCCAATTCCAGCAACCGCTCTTTAGATGTTTTATCCTCCAGTCCCCTGATCATCTTTGTTGCTCTTCGAGGTCTTAAAACAAAACCAGAAAGTAAAGAAGTAGGAAAAGACTAAACCGATGCAGTTTATAGTCCTAAGGCTTGAAGGCAAGGTCTAAATGCTGAGTCACAGAGATTCTTCTTCTTTCTGCCAATCCATCTTTGAAGACACAGGACCTTACCTAGACCTGAGGCACAACAGGCCATTGCTGATCTTGGCCGTGGTGACCTTCTGCCAGGGATGAGGCAGAAAAGGTCCTTTGGTCTGGTCCTCAAAGGCAGACGGGAGTCCCCGCTATTCGTTAGGGGGCGTGCACCTCCTTGCCAAAGTAAACTCAATTCTCCATGGGGTGAAAGACCCTTTAGGAAGCCAGTGAAGACCAAGACCAAGCCGAAGAATAAGAGAGTGGAAAGGAACCTTGGAGATCTCCTAGTCCAACCCCCAGCTCAAGCAGCAGAACTGATACCATTTCAGACAAGTGGCTGTCCAGCTCCTTGCTTCTGCAAGGGGTTGGAACAAACAAAGTTAAGCTCTAACTCCCCCCACCCCAGCTGCAGAGCCGGGCCTGTTCATTTCCCAGGCCCCATATATCTCCCCCCTCCCCTCCCCTTCTGGGGTGCAAGGTTGCCGTCCCTTACCCACAATGTTCGACAGCCAAGGAGCTCCAAGGAAAGATGACGAGGGTTTTCAAGCAGTTCTTTGGAAGGGCAGTTTAAGCACCGACTCAGACAAGCAGCGTAGAGAAAGGGATTTAAAAAGAACAACTCGTATTTGCAGCAGCTTCTCTGGGCAGGCAGTCACTGCCAGTAACGTTCTCTGCGGACAAGGGTGGAGCCAGGCGCCCAGCCAGCTTACTGCCTTGAGGACTTGGCTTCCTTGCGACTGAAAACGGCCTGGCTACAAGCCAGTTCTGGGATAGGTTAAGTCTGCGGTTCCTCCACAGCTGATGAGTCTGAGAGATCTCACCCAGCCCACAACCTGCTTCCTTTGCAGGGGCAGCTGATAGCAATAAACTCCAGAAGAAGGGGAAAAAAAGAGAGAAAAAAGAGCAAAATTGAGGGGCGTCCATCTTGCCTGCCTGCCTGCCTCTCTTCTCAGTTAATGCAAGGCTGTTTTCCTCCAGAGTTGTGTCTCTAAAGGAGAATAATTGGAGCTCAGGGTTGAAATGAGGGGTCCTGGGTGCTTCTCTTGAGTTTGGTTGCGTTCTCGCAGATGTTTCATTACCTAGCTAGGCAACATTATCAGTGTTAGAAGGGAGTGGGGTTTGCAGAATGGGAGGAGAAGAAGAAAGAGGGCGGAGAAGGAGGAGGATTGTAGGGTCCTGGGTGCTCTCTTGAGTTTGGTTGCGTTCTTGCAGATGTTTCGTTACCCAACTAGGGTAATGTTCAGCTGCCAAGAACTTCAATCATCTGATTATATACCACCCCAAATAACCTGTTGAGATGGGTGACTATGGAAATCAAATAAGTAAATCAAATAATAAATGTCCACTATTGTTATGGCTTATATGTCTTCAGAGATTTCCTTCCTTCCTTCCTTCCTTCCTTCCTTCCTTCCTTCCTTCCTTCCTTCCTTCCTTCCTTCCTTCCTTCCTTCCTTCCTTCCTTCCTTCCGTCCTTCCTTCCTTCCAAATCTGTTGTTCTTTTATCTTATTACAGCTACAGCCACTGCCCCTTGTCACATCTCTGAGTAGACTTCTGTAAGCTTCCATGGAACATATAACTATTAATTATTCGGAATTATGTTTATTGCATTTAATCAGAGTGCTACCCCTTGCCGAATATAATAACACGTTTCAAATGGGGGCATTCGCTTCCCAGTCTGCTTTCCGCAGACCATTTTATTCATTTCAAATTAATCAAGTACTCTCACCACCAAGATCTACCTGGACCCATCTAGGATTAAGCCGTAATAAATTTGTTCCTCTCCAATTTCACTTTGCAGCTTAAATAGCTTATTGGAATGCAAATTCTTCTCCTGCCTTCAGATCTCAAAGGTGCCTTAAATCTTTTTTTTTTCCTTAAAAAAAAAAAGAAGACAATTCTACTTTTTGAAATGCACGGAAGTATACCAAGTCCCAGCTAATATCTTTTGCACTGGCCTCAATTTCTCCAAAAATCCATTTCATTAGAAACCTTTAAAAAATAAAGATCCGCTTGAGCAGAGTTGGAGTCTTATGGATTACACGAATGACCTCCTCTGATTCTTCGATAGGGGTTGCCAATTCTTGAAGATGTTTTTCGACCTTGCAGGGTGACCTCTGGTTCTGGGACTTTCTGATGATTCTCATGCAAGGAAAAAAAACAACAAATTTGACAACGTTTGGTTTTTCTGAAATCAGCTGAGGTCAGCCAAGTTCTGTCACCAAGAATTTTTGAAAGACCTAAAATAAAGCTAGTGAAAGTGAGACTGTTTCTACTTTGTCTTATCTCCCAGGAACCTATTTTGGAGGATCCTTCAAGAGAACGTGGACTCCTAGTGACATCCTGCGCCAGTCCCTGTAGTTTTCTTGGCAAAGCTTTCTGGAAGTGGTTTGCCATTGCCTCTTTCCCAGGGCTGAGAGAAAACGACTGGCCCAAGGTCCTCCAGCTGGCTTTGTGCCTAAGATAGGACTAGAACTCACCGTCTCCTGGCTTCTAGCGGGATGCCCAAACGCTACACTAAACAAGCATTAAATAAGTGGATGGAAAAGGTATTTATTTAAAAAATTCTCCCTTTTATGACCCTGTATCTAGGGCCGTGGCCCCCAACCTTTTGGGCACCAAGGACCAGTTCCATGGTAAGAGGGTTTTCCATGGACTGGAAGGGGTGTGGTTTTATTTGGATGGGGCTTCCCTTGTTTGCGCAGACCGGTTTCTGGCATGTCACGGATTGGTGCTGATCCACAGACCAGGGGTTGGAGACCCCTGATTATTCTAGGATAAAATGCTATACTTCTTTGGGGATCAGGGCAAGAGAGATAGAGAACTCATTGTCATAGGACAGACAATGGGGATGCAATAGTGCCGTGGCTGGAACTGCCAGCCAGAAATGATTTGCATTCCGTTGGTTCAAGTCCGGTTCAGTGAGACGGAGTGAGCTCCCGTCACTCGTTCTCTAGCTCCTCTCCACTCAGCAATTGGAAGGCAGGCAATATTGCGAGTAGATAAACGGGTACCACTTTGGTGGGAAGAAAACCTAACTGTGTTCGTGTGTGTGTGGAGAGCAGAAGCCGGCGCTGGATCTGGCCAGACCCGAGGCATTGCATCATGGATCAAGGTGAGGCAAGACCGGCAGAGAAGCCCAGAAGAACCAGCAAACTGAGTGTCGCTAATGTGTGTGTGTGCAGTGTACCAAGGATAGGCATACAAGCGCTGAACAGAACAAACTAGCAGTCTGTCAGGATTGCATTGTGTTTCTTGCATGTGTAGATTTCCCTGACATCGTACACAATATGCTAAAATAAGACAAAAAAATAAACACAGAATAGAAAGAGCATTGATGCCTTCGAATTTCAGCATTGGATAAGACTCCTGAGAAGTCCGTGGACAGCCGAGAAAGCAAACCACTCGTTTATCGAACAAACACAACCCAGAATTCTCATAAATGACCGGGCTCAAATTATTCCAGGTTGGACAGATTACGCAAAGACCCAAGCAACGTGTGCATTTCTGGGAGCAGAACCCACATCGTGGCAATGAAATACCGTAGGTGTGTTATGGTGGTGGTGTTTTTTACCCCTTTTTTGGTTTTTTTATTGGTTCCTTTGCATGTGTTTGTTACATGAACTCCTGTGGGAAGATCAAAGAATACAGAGAGATCCAAGGTAGCATTTAAAATTGGAAGGTTGGAGAACCATTGTTTTCAACTTGCCCGGTTGCCAAAGGACAACGGTAAAACAGGAAGTGGCGTCGCTGCCCTCATTCATTCATTCATTCCTGCTTATTCGTTGAAAGGAACGAACTCACCGTGGGAGTTGTACCCTATGCCAAACCACGACAATGAGATGCTTCTAGAATGTGCTGGAAGTTGAGCCTGATTTGTCGGTATTATTTTTTTTAAAGTACAGCTAATCCTTGACTTACGGCCACAATCAAACTCAAAATTTATGCTGCTGGGTGAAAGATTTCTTAAGTGAGTTTTAAGAAAATGGTGGGTCTCCGAGCCAACCAAACCCCCGAATCTAACAGCAATACAATACTGAAAAAAACAAAAGACACAATAAATTAAAAATCAATAGTGGCAGTGCCACAATTTCCCGCTCATTCCATCAGAACGGACCAAGATAATAAATAATGAATAAATTAAGGAAGAAACATAGAATGACGCTGAACGGACAGAGCAAAGAGAAGGATTGTTGGCTTCCATAGAGTGGGCCTTTAAGCGGGGGTCCTCTTTTTTCCTCCCCCCCGATGTCTTGGCCTCTGGGAAAAGAACGTAATATATGGATTTATTTGGCCCTCTTGCCTTACATAATATAGGTAGTCCCTTGCCCAAAATATCCGTTGCTAAGCGAGACAAGCGGTGGAGTGAGCTTTGCCCTGTTTTGTGACTTTTCTTGCCGCAACTGTCAAATGAATCTTCTCCGTTGTTAAGTCAGTCACACGGTTGTTAAGTGAATCCAGCTTCCCCATTGACTTTGCTTGTCAGAAGGTCACAAAAGGGGATCCCCGGGATGCTGCGACTGTCGTAAATATGAACCGGTTGCCAAATGCTCGAATTTGGATCACGTGACCACAAGGGAATGCCTCAATGGTTGTAAGTGTGAGAAATAGTCATAACTCGCTTTTCCCAGTGCTGTTGTAACTCCGAATGGGTCACCGGATGAGCTGCTGTAAATTGAGGACTATCTGCACACAGCTAGTCAGTGGGAGGCAGTTGGGAAGAGGACGGATGACATATCCCATAGGGCTCAGACATTATGGGGCTTGCATGGAAGGATGTGCCTCCTAGCATGAAGAAGGGATGTTGAGATGTTTCCGTTTCTGTAGGAGGACCAGGGACATCTTCTGGGTGGGTCTTCTCCATCAACCCACTGAGCTTGCACACCCCAAAATTCATCTTGTTTCATGCTTGGCCTACAACATCCTTCAATTCCACCCTATCCAAAGCGAAGCCGCAAAAAAGAAATGGAACACCAAACTGAGGGTGGTGTGTGTGTGTGTGTGATGGAAACACAATCAGAGTGAGGACCAGAATTTCTACAACGGGGACCACAGGACATGGAAGAGGGAAGTCTTCCTTTCAGACAATCCCCCTACCCCGGGCCGCGGTAGGCTACGTTATTCCGAGGAGCAATGGATGGAGGATCATCTGGAGAAGGTTGTCCATTGGCGTGGGTTGGAGTAGAGGCAGGTGATTGAAATCCACAAGGGAGAGCCGCTACGAACGCCGCAAACTGTCATAGCTGCCCACCGAGGCAGAACTGCTCCTGCTGCTACTTCGTGGACGGCTTCTCCCTCTGCTACTCCGGCTTTGGCTGCTCTTGGCGTAACTGCTCCAACTCCGACTGCAGCTGCTCCTATCACTTGAGTAACTGCGGCTCCGTGCTGGAGAGTAACTGAGACAGCTGTACTCTGAGGAGTAAACGCTTGAACTGCTGGGGGAGGAGGAGGAAGGACTCGGTCTGTAGTAAGGGATGGGGCGCTTCCGGGCACTGGAGAGGAAAAATCGAGAGGGGTGGGGAGAGAGAGGTGAGAATTACCTCCACTGCTTCCTTTCTATCCTTCCTCCTCTCCTCTCCTCCCTCCCCTCCCCTCCTTTATTCCACCTTTCTTTATGAGTATGCAAACATCTTGTGACATCTTTTATACCAGGATCCTGGAAACCAAGTGGCATATAAATATACTTTCTATTATTACAGTACTGTTATTAATTAATCTGAGAGGGCAGTGCAAAGTGATTCATAACATTTAAAACAATCGAAATAACACAAGCGTGCACCATCAGGATGGCCCTGGGACAGGTTGTGGGTTGACTGCTAACTTTGTGATTCTTTCTCTCTTCCTGCAGATGAATAAAATCCCATTTATGTCTCTTTCCACCAAAATACTGTTTTATTGCCCCTTGAAGTTGCGCAACGAACTCGCAAAACTGGTTAGGAGGATCTTAAGATTGCCAGATTCTCCTGTGGCTCCTTCTCTCTCTTTTCCAGCCACAAAGAGAAGGGGGGGATATTTAAAAGGTAGAGCCGAAAGACCCTCCCCCCTCACCTGGTTATCCGCCGGGCTTCCAAGTGGCTGGGAGAATTTCTCCGACGCTTCCTCATGGGGGAATAGCACTCTTTGCGCCGCCGGCGGTCCTGATGCCTGTGGGACTCCTTCCCACTGGAGCCGTAACTGTGATCTTGTTCACAACCTCTGAGAAAAGAAATGTCCAGGAAGGTGAGGGGCTGTCTTGATGACGGGGTTGGGAATCAAGGCTGCTGACCCCAGAGTGTGCGGATCTCACCCTAAGAGGGTCTTCTTGCTTGGGGATCCTCTGAATGGGATTCCCCTTCCTCTTACAACAGTCCAGGATTGAGATCAGCAAGGGAGGGAGAGGGTCCCAGGGCAGGAGGTGGATTTCCAGTTGGGGATCAACGGGGGGGGGGGGGTTCAGGGTGTTTAGACCTACCTGCCAGTCCTATACCGAGAATAGCTGGAGCTGCGTTGGGATCTTGAATTTCTGCTTCCAGCTGTTCTCTTGCAGGATTTGGGAGAGGAACTAGGGGAACGGGAAGAGAATCTGAGAACAGAGAGATTTAAGAGAGCATGGAAAAAAGCAGGAAGAGGGATTTGCTTCTGGTCCAGTCCCTTCCTTCCTTCCTTCCTTCCTTCCTTCCTTCCTTCCTTCCTTCCTTCCTTCCTTCCTTCCTTCCTTCCTTCCTTCCTTCCTTCCTTCCTTCCTTCCTTCCTTCCCCCTCTCTCCTCCCTCCCTCCCTCCCTTCCTTCGTTACACCCTCCCTCTCTCCTTCCTTCCTTCCTTCCTTCCTTCCTTCCATTTCCCTCCCTCCCTCCCTCTTTCTCCATCCATCTCTTTTTTTCTTTCTCCCCTTCCTCCCTCCGACCCAGCATTTGAAATGCTTTTATCACTAATTATTGCTAATGTGCTATTTATACACAAATGACACAATAGGAGCAGCAACTGGGGGGAATACCCATTAGGTAATTAAAGATAATATCATACTGAACAGAAATGAAAAATCTGGGCTTATCAGGAATAAGAGAAATATTGACATTTTGTGCTCCCCAGTCTCTTTTTCCTTGGCTTCTCCTGCAATGTAAGGCGAGTAAGCAAACCGGATAACCTCTAAAACTAATTTGTTGAGCAATGACTCTTGTCTATCTGTTTATTCCTCCCCCAAGGAGTCAGGACTGTAAGAAAAAAAGCAAACTTTGAATAACAGGATAACGGAACAGAATTATCGAGTTGGAAGGGACCTTGGAGGTCTTCTAGTCCAACCCCCTGCTCCGGGGAGGGGAGGAAACCCTGGCTTGTTAGCGCCTCTCCTTGGATAAGAAGAGCTAAGTTGATCAGGCCGAAACCAGATTCATATATCGCATTAAACAACTACTTGGTTTGTTTACTTCTGGTTTAGTAGATATGCAAATCCACCCACATTATATGTAAATCAGACTATTCCTTCTTGGTCACCAAACCGTGACTTAAAAAAAAACAACAACCTTTTGTAGGATTATGCTTATATAAACATGCTTGTCTATGCTAGATTATTCAAAATTTTTGGCAAACCTGGTTTACTGTGATATGCACAACCGGTTAGCCATTTGTCGTGTTTTTGGCTGAGGAGAGGAAATGCCTCTGATTTTGCAGTGACAACCCCAAAGAAAGCCAGAAACAACAACGTAAGCAGTTTTGCATCTGGGAAGACATTCTGGAAAGAATTTTTACAATAGAAGAAAACAAATACATATAGCTCAGGTTGAACTGTAAAAACCTTGATACTCTCTGAGCTTGGTTGTTCGTTTGCAGACGTTTCCTTACCTAAATAAGATCATCAGTGTGAGGGGAGGTTTATATACAGTGGCATGCCCTGCCAATGGTGGTGTTGGTATGTTTTTCCTCCTTATAGTTAAAATCACTTAAAATCACTTAAAGCCGGCAGTGTGCAGCCGCCGCCAAAAAAGCTAATACAATCCTTGGTTGTATAAACAGAGGCATAGAATCAAAATCTGCATGAAGTGTTAATGCCGCTTTATCAAGCCTTAGACCACATCTGGAGTACTGCATCCAGTTTTGCTCACCACATTACAAATAAGATGTTGAGACTTTGGAAAAAGTGCAGAGAAGAACAACTAAGATGATGAAAGACGTGGCGATTAAAACATAGGAAGAACGGTTGCAAGAATCGGGTTCGGCCAGTCTAGAGAAAAGAAGGACCAGGGGGGGCATGATAGCAGTGCTCCAGTATTTGAGGGGCTGCCTCAAAGAGGAGGGAGTCAAGCTATTCTCCAAATCACCAGAGGGCAGGACAAGAAGCAATGGATGGAAACTAATCAAGGAGAGAAGCAACCTGGAATCAACCGAACGGTGAGGACAATTAACCAGTGGAACAGCTTGCCTTCAGAAGTTGTAGCTGCTTCATCACTGGAGGTTGATGACCACTCACCTTGATTTTGATGAGCAACAAGATGGACTTGGTGAAGATCTCCGCCCCAGCTTGTGATGCAAAGATTCAGAGTCCAGAGATGACCTGCTGGAAGGAGATTCATTTCGAAGACATGGCTGAAGTGGAGAACTGGAAAACGGTGGCGAGATAACGTTGGCCTTCTTCTTTCCAAGTGGCTCAAGAGAGGGCCAAGACCCTCCACTGAAAAAAAGAGAAGTTTTCCAGAAAGAACAGTGATTATAGAGGGCTGTGAAAAAAGTACATCTTTTACAAGACACACACAGCTTCCCAAAAACAGAAAGAAGTCCATCTCCTTTCTGAGGAATTGGCCATCTCTGGTGTTGCAGAAAGTATCTTCGGAAGTCAAAGCTGACACCAGCCAGAGCATAGAAAAACTCAAAGAAGGAATGTGCAAGATCGGAAGAGGTGGACAGATAGCAATAGCACTTAGACTTATATATTGCTTTACAGTGCTTTACAGCCCTCTCTAAGCGGTTTACAGAGTCAGCCTCTTGCCCCTCCCCCCAACAATCTGGATCCTCATTTTACCAATCTTGGAAGGAGGGAAGGCTGAGTCAACCTTGAGCTGGTGAGGATTGAACTCCTGGTGGTGGAAGGAAGGAAGGAAGGAAGGAAGGAAGGAAGGAAGGAAGGAAGGAAGGAAGGAAGGAAGGAAGGAAGGAAGGAAGGAAGGAAGGAAGGAAGGGCAATAGCACTTAGACTTATAGGCCGCTTCACAGTACTTTACAGCCCTCTGTAAGTGGTTTACAGAGTCAGCAACCTGCCCCCAACAATCTGGGTCCTCATTTTACTGATCTCGGAAGGATGGAAGCCTAAGTCAACCGTGAGCTGGTCAGGATCGAACTGCCGGCAGAATTACCCTGTAATACTGCATTCTAACCACTGTGCCACCATGGCTCCTATCTTGCTCATAGAATCGCCAAGAGTCGGACATGACCGAATGGATAACAGCGTCATCACCTCCTGAAAAAGACTACTTACTTTTGATCTTTGCACAGATGCCCTGGGGACGGACTTGGTTCTTCCAAAGCTTGTCCTTTTGATTGGGAGCTATAGCTGTGTAGTGAGTTCCCCGAATCAGGGCTGCTGACACTGCTGGCTTTCCCTGAAGAGAAGGCCTGGCCGAAGCCATTGCAGGCTTCGCCCTTGGTTTCTTGACTGCCTTTTGACCTGGATGTGCTTGTCTGAACAGACGGGGGGGAAGAAGTTGCGTTGCCCGAGTCATATTCATGGACATCTCTGGTCTCTTTACTTTGGTTCCCCAACTGGCCCGTTGCTTTTTTAAAGAGGCCAGTCGCAGACCCAGAATTTGAGATCTGTAAGCAAAGAGAGGTTTTGCCAGGGTTTAACTGACTTAACCACAAAAAGAACAGAAAAATCCCCCCCCTCCCAAATTTTTTCAGGTGGTGTGTGTGTGTGTAAGATGTTGGGCTCTGCTTACTTGCTCATCAAATTCACCCTTTTTATTCTGATGTTTTTATTTTCATTTAGCATTAGGATTCAGTCTGCGGTCAAAGGCAAAGAAGGAAGGAGGTTAGGAAATAAGAGAAAGAAAGAAAGAAAGAAAGAAAGAAAGAAAGAAAGAAAGAAAGAAAGAAAGAAAGAAAGAAAGAAAGAAAAGAAAAAAGTTTGAACTCAACACATCTTACTAAAAGAAATGCACAAGTCCCTGTCTTTTTTTCTCTCTCTCCCAGATATAACTGGAAGATTTTTAAATCATGCAAAGAATACTAACAGCATGCGGTCCATGTTGACAGAAAGGTGTCACTGAGTAATTTTTTGATCAAAGGAGCTGAAGAAAATTTAAGAAAAACCTTAAACAAACCAAAAGAGGTAAAAAGAAGCCACAAAAATAGATTATTACAGGGGAGTTAAAAAAAAAGACATCTAGTTTTAGAAATAAGTCAAAACTCTACAAAAATCCATCCGATCAAATGTGGGTATCTCTGTTGTTCTACTGAACTGCAAGGGATCAACTGTCTGACCGCTTCTGCTGGGATTAATTATGGTTAAGCTGTAGCCCAGTTTGCTGGCTCTGTATTCCGTCAGCCCACCAAGGTAGACAGGTCAGGAAATCCTCAACTTTCAACAGTTGATTGACTGACTGTTCGAAGTTGCAACAGCAAGCAAAATCAATGGGGAAGCCAGATTCACTTAACAACTGTGTTACTAACACAACAGGTGTAGTGACTCATTTAACAGCAGTGGCCAGATTATTATTATAACAGAATCTTGAAAGCTTGGCAGAGATTCTGTCTCTCCTATTCCTTACCTCCAAGTGTAGAGTGTCAAGGGAAGGATCCCAAGGGACAGGAGGAAAGAAGTAGTCCAGACTTGGAAGAGGGAAGGGGTCTTCTCCAAGGAGCAAAGGAGTCAGAAGGGAGGTGAAGGTGGACTCTCACGAGCCATTCCCAGGTTGTACCTAACAGTTATGTAGATTAGTGCTTTTCTGGCAAGATTCCTCTCTGAAGTACTCACAAATATTAATTTTTTAATATCGTAAGTAAAAACAGAGAGAGAGAGAGAGAGAGAGAGAGAGAGAGAGAGAGAGAGAGAGAGAGAGAGAGAGAAGGAGAGAAAGAGTAGAAGAGAGAAAGGGGGGGGGGAATAAGGAAACAAACAAAAAACGAAAAGTTCCTCTAGAGAAAGAAGGCAGACATAAATGGCTGTGTGCAATCCCCCTTGTAGAATATTTCTGCATGACCTCTAATAATCAATATCCTGACAGCTTGCGGTTAGCATTCACTTACCAAGCAAGAACTCCTCCTTTAGTAGGTAAGGTGTAAAAAAAAGGGAAGATTGGGGAACGTAAGTCCATGGTTAGAGTTTTAAATTACAAGAGAGATTTTTTTTTAAAAAAAAATGAAAATCAAATTTCAACCCCTCTTTCTTTCTCTGTCTGTCGCTCGCTCGCTCGCTTGCTCTTTCTCTCTTCCAATCCAGTATTTGCTTTTTATTTTATTTTTTAATGTTCTGTGCTTTTTTTTTTAAATCCTCTCCTCTCAAATCCCTCCTGTCCGATTGATCCCAGGTTCAGGATCCTGGTCCACAGAGAATGCAAAAATTAAAATAATAATAATAATAAAATTTCCCAGGAAATCAAAGATTTGAAAACACAACAAAACAACACGACGAAAAGACAGGGTTTGCTGTGCAAGAGAAACGCCTAAATCTTGCTTTTAGGAGGCAAACAGAATTTTGCCAGCTCTTGAGGTCTTTTCCAAGCAGAAATGCAACTGAATCAGTGATTCTTCATTCCCCACCCCCCTTAAATATAGGTAGTCCTCAATTTACAACCATAACTGAGCACCAAATTTATGTTGCTACGTGAGAAACATGTTAAGTGAGTTTTGCCCCATTTTAGACAACTGTTTTCACGCCTTCCTGCCACTAGGCTAAATACACATCAATAAATTAAAATATTCATTGATATCTATCAGTCAAAATATTCATTCATACCAATCAATGAAAACTTTTATGTCAATCGATTAAAATATTCATATCAATCAAAACGTTCACTCAATCAATTAAAGCATTCATAATCAATTAAAACACTCACATCAATCAATTAACATCTTCATTCATACCGATCAATGGAAACATGCATGTCAATCCATTAAAATATTCCTTCATGTCAATCCATTAAAATATTCCTTCATGTCAATCCATTAAAATATTCCTTCATTTAGTCTGGATCTGGGTATTGTTCCTGGAGATGAAAGTTACATATACAAGTCTCAAGGAGTTTCTACCAATTAATGAACATCCCTTCGTTCTTTCAAAGAACAAATGCCATTAATTCAACAAACGTAGATGCTGCATTTATTGATAACGTTGACCTGATAACCCCATTCAGTTTTTTTTTTCCTTCTCGTATGAGACTTTCCCCTTGTTTTGATTTTAGGATGTGGCTGTGAGACTGCAGGCGCTTCGATGGGACCTCCAGGGATTAATTTCACTAAAGAAGGAGGAGGAAAGCCAGGTACATACGGAAGACAAACCATCAGTCTTCATTTTCAGCTGTTAGGTTTTAATTTGCACTGAACTTTTTGCTCGAGAAGCGACAGATCGGAAGCTGACTGCTCAAGCACCCTCATGGCGAGGTTTTCAATTAAGCTGAAGAACATTGTTTACTGGGCATCAAATGGGCCCTTGGAGAAGAAAAGATAAATTTGTAGACTGAACCAGGTGGAACCAGCCAGCTCAGTGTTCAACAGCCTCTCCCTGTCTCTAATGCAGTGTTTCTCAACCTTGGCAATTTAAGATATGCAGACTTCGATTCCCAGAATTTCCCCAGCCACGCTTACGACTTAACAACCATTCATTTAATCTGTTCAAAGTTACAACGGCACCGGAAAAAGCCAATTAGCCCTGTTTTTCATCCTTACGGCCGCGGCAGCATCCTCTAAGTCACACGATCAAAATTCAGACCCTTGGCAACTGACTCATATATACGACGGTTGCAGCGTCCTGGGTGTGTGTGTGTGTGTCCTGTGATCCCCTTTTGCAACTTTCTGACAAGCAAAATCCATGGGGAAGCTGTGTTCACTTGACGAGAGTGTTGCCGACTACACAACTGCAGGGATGGACTTATCAACTCTGGCGAGAGAGGTCGTAAAATGGAGGCAAAGCTCGTTTAGCCACTGGACGTGGTCGATTGTTTGAAGAATATAAAAGAATATTGATAGTTTGAACTGAGTTGCATTCCATGAGGACATTTGTGTTGTGGTTGACAAAGTTAAACTGGCAGTGGGGACTGATTGAAACCCTGTTCTTTTAAATGCTTGTCTCGTTTATTTTTAATTAACTCAGAAGTTCTGCCTTGGCCCGCAAACTTATCAGGACAATATGGCGAAAGCTGGAGTGATAATAAAGACTTCAGATCCAACTTGGCTTTTTAAGGGCTTAAGGGACTTATTCATGCAGTTTTCTTGGCTGCAAGATGGAAGTGATTTGTCACTGTGTTCTTGGTGATTTATTTTTTTTAAAACTTTGTACTTAAGCCAACAGCTCCAATGTTTTCTGCTCATCTCCCATCCAAATGCTGACCGGGACTGACCCTGTATAGCTTCCAAGCTCAGACAAAGACATTTATCACCACCCACTGATATCAGAGTAATACTTAAACCAACAAGCATAAGCTAAAGTTTAGCAGTTTAGTCTACATTTTTATAAAAATGGGGAAACATCAGGTTGACTCCAAGAAAGAGAGAGAGAAAATCCTAAAATCCCAATTAAAGCAAAATTAGGCCAACAGAAGGACTGTTGCAAAATGCAAATTTCTGAGAATTCTTCGTGAAAGGGTTAAAGGAACCGGTTTGGTCTAGTCGTTAAAGCACCCGGTTAGAAAGCAGGAGACTGTGAATTCTAGTCCTGGCCTTAGCCATGAATGCCAACTGAGTGACTTTGGGCCAATCACCAGGAGACAGTGAGTTCTAGTTCCATCTTAGGCATGAAAGCTAGCTGGGTGATTTGGGGCTGTCAACCAGGTGACCGTGAGTTCTAGTCTCACTTTAGCCAGGAAAACCAACTGGTGACTCTGGGCCAATCGCCAGGAGACTGTGAGTTCTAGTCCTGCCTTAGGCATGAAAGCTGACTGGATGACTTTGGACCAATTACAAGGAGACCGGGAGTTCTAGTCCCGCCTCAGGCATGAAAGCTGACTGGGTGACTTTGGACCAATCACCAGGAGACCGAGAATTCTAGTCCTGCCTCAAGCCTAAAAGCTGGTTGGGTGACTTTGGACCAACCACCAGGAGACCGAGAGTTCTAGTCCTGCCTTAAGCGTGAAAGCTGGTTGGGTGACTTTGGGCCAATCACTTTCTCAGCCCAACCCCACCTCTCCCAGAGTTGTTATGGGGAAAATAAGAAGGAGGTATGTTGGATACATTCACGGCCTTGTATTATTTGTCAAAATAATAGCAGTAGCATAGAAATAAAAAATAAATAAATAAAAACCAGGGAAAAAGGAGAGAAAAACATTAAGCCACGTTTGAGCCATGTTTGCCCCTCCTTCGGTCTTAAATGGGAAAACCTTACAGACACACAACCTGGGTTGTCTCTGGTATGGATTTGCGATTTGTGGAACAAACCAAAGGTTTCTCTAAACAGGAGCGGATGACATTTTGGGATGTATAAAATCCCACGGAAGTCTTGCCACCTATTGAGGAATGTCCAGTTTCCTTGGCTGGTGGAAGACAGGAGAAGCCCCCTCTCGACCCCCCCCCGTAAACTCAACACTTCCTTTCTTCTTGGATGCTCACCTACTATCCCTTTGCACCTATGAGTTTGGCCGATGCCGCTCACAACAGGGAAGTTGAGTTTGAAGGCAGCATAGGCTGCTCCATTTCCCCCCCCCGTCCTCTTCCTTCCCCCCCCCCAACACACTTTGTGCCACAATTACATTCACGGAAATGTTTCTTTTTATAGGTTTAATCTTTTACGCCTCCAAAGACTGAGAGAATGGGTGCCGAAGAGAGCCGGCAGGGAATCAGACACGGAGCAGAAGGGGTACATAAAAACACATCTCATCAAATATCAAAGCTAGAGGCCCATACTTTCATAAATGCCTCCTCTTTATTATTCATGGTCGACAGCCTAGGCAATCTCTCTTCTGGGTCTCTCCCCCACGTGGCCAGCCCCATCTTCCCCACTTCCACCAGCTGGGCAGACAAACAGAGGATGTTTTCAAGAAAGAACGTGACTCTAAACGGGCTGGCCAATGACTAAAACGATGGAGCCTTCAACGTGTCACAGACGTAGCACAGAAATCTAAACTAAGGAGGTTTAGTGGATAGGGGTACTTACAAGTTCAGCCGTGGAGAGAAAGTAATTGTTCTGCAGGGTGCAGCCCAGGAAGGGGCTCCCAGCCAACTCTCCTGCTTCGTCGGAGTGAGAAGTCCTCTTTGACGCATGCCGTGATCGGCCGAGTCTCCCTTTCCCGCCTTTATCTTGCAATTGGCTTCTCAGCCTATGTCTGTCAAAATAAAGTTTCCTTTCTTCACATTGCACAGACATTGGAAGGGACTTTGGAGGTCTTCTAGTCCAACCCCCTGCTCAGGCAGGGAGACCTGTACCATTTCAGACAAATGGTTGTTCAATCTCTTCTTAAAAACATTCACCACTTCTGGAGGCAGGTTGTTCTACTGGTTAATTGTTCTCACTGTCCTTGTTTAGTTTCCATCCATTGCTTCTTGTCCTGCCCCCAAGCGCTTTGGAGAATAGCTTGATTCCTTCTTCTTTGGGGCAGCCCCTGAGATACTGGAAGACTGCTATGTCCCCCTCGTCCTTCTCTTCATTAAAGTAGACATACCCAATTCCAGCAGCCATTCCTTATATGTTTTAGCCTCCAGTCCCCTGATCATCTTTGCTGCTCTTCTCTGCACTCTTTCTAGAGTCTCAACTAAGGATGACACGATAGCAATGTTTCAATATCTGAGAGGCTGCCACAAAGAAGAAGGGCTCAACCTCTTCTCCAAAGCACCTGAAGGCAGGACAAGAAGCAACGGATGGAAACTCATCAAGGAGAGAGAAGCAACCTGGAATGAAGGAGACACTTCCTAACAGTGAGAACAATCAATCGGTGGAACTGCTTGCTCCATTACTGGAGGTTTCTGAGAAGAGATCGTACAGCCAGTTGTCCAGAATGAGTCTCCTGCATGAACAATGGGTTGGACTAGAAGACCTCCAAGGTCCCTTCCAACTCTGTTATTCTATAATTCTGTTAATAATGGGGAAATTTCACGAAACTGCCATTTCTTCTGAGGTCCCAAATCCTTGTGTGAGATCCTGAAGGAGATATTAATGTCTATAGCTTGTCAGTATTTTTTGGCTAGCTCAGTCTTGGTTGAATTCTCCTAGTAAATTGACATGGAATGGCTAATACTGAATTATATTTATTGTGACACCAAAATGGGGATCGTTTCCAAGTGTAGATTGTCTTCCCGTGGTTACAGCTGCCCTTATTATTAACATTTTCAGCAATATTGCCCCCGGAATCTGTCATTCCCAATGGATCTTCCATTGGTCCGGTGAGATTGCTGTCTCACGAGAGTTAGTTTTATTTTTCTTTTAAAAAAATGCAACATTGCACAAGACAGAGTGATGGAGCCCCCAGATCAAAAATGACAACCCTTGTTGACACGGCGGACTTTGCTTGGAGGTAAACTTAGCATTAAAAATTAGGATTCTCTCCATGAATCTTGAGTCAGTTCAGATATTTTTAACGATATTCAAGATATCCAGGAAAGGATATTTTCCTTTCTTCTCTGTTTATAATTCTTCTTTCCCCTCCTCTCTGTTCATCTACTTCCCACACGGTGGTTAAACTAAACAAAGCTCTCTTAGTAGGAGCTGACTTTGCACCAGAAGGAGACCGAAGTTAGAGAACGTCAGAAAACTTGAAGGTGGCTTACCGGCTTCCACAGCTCTCCGACTGAGAGTTGGTGCTGTTTGAACTAGAACGGTAACGATGGCGCCTGGATTTCTGTGGACGGCTACGAGAACTTTTGAGAGAAGAAAGCAATGGAATAAATGTAATATATCCTCCTCGGGAACAAAGGTAAGGGAATGGACATTTTGACTCGTGAATCTCTTAACGTTAAAGGCAATCAATCTTGGTGAGGAATTACTAAAAGTTAAATTCATAGAGCTCTGGGTGGACCAGACAGAGTCTCCTAAACACTTTTCAATGTTTTAGAACATAGAATAACAGACTTGGAAGGGACCTTGGAGGTCATCTAGTGCAACCCTCTGCTCGAGAGATGGCTGTCCAGTCTCTTCTTAAAAGCCTCCAGTGATGGAGCGTCCACCGCTTCTGGTGGCAAGCCGTTCCACTGACCGACTGCGAACGTGTGAGTTCATTGCCTTCCCGTAAATATTGTGAGAGCAATTTTAGGATTCATCTCACAAAATCCTCAAATGATTAATCAGTGGAACAACTTGCCTCCCCCAAAGTTGTGAGTGCTCCATCATTGGAGGTTTTTAAGAAGGGATTGGACAGCCATTGATCAGGATGGTATAGACCAGGGGTGTCAAACTGCCGGCCTGTGGGCCGGTTTCATCATACCGGAGCCGCGCCGACCCCATTGCCGGCAATGGCGGAAAAGCTCCGATACATCGTGCGATGTTATGTGAGGTCGCGAGTTTGACATGCCTGGTATAGGCTCTCCTGCTTGAGCAGGGGGCTGGACTAGATGACCTCTGAGGTACCTTCCAGCCTTAGGATTCTATCTTCTTTAGTATAAACATTCTTTATTATAATATTCTTTATTCGAGACAATATCCTTTTATATCGCACAAAAACGATGCCCCTTGGGGAAACTTTCAGAGAAGAGCTTAATTTTATTTTATTTTATTTTATTTTATTTTAAAAAGGATAAAAATGGGCTTTGTTTTATAATGCTCCACAGGCAGCTAGCAATGGGTAGCAGACTGGGCTTTCCAGGCTGCCAAATTCTCCCCACATCTCCACAGGCTTCTCAATTTTTGGTGAGGAACCAACATGGCAAACTTAAGAGGTAGGGGGCGGGGGGGGGGGTTTGGAAACAACAACCCAAATCTCTTCTAATCTCCAGCCAACACGGAGACGGTGTGAGGTCACTCTTGCCTTTGTTCAGCACATGTGGTGATTGTACCCTTGTTCCACAGCTTGTCTTGAACAAGCCTCCCAACTCGCCCATCGTGGGCGCCTGGAAAGACAGGCGCCGTTTAGCCCACGAGAACCGACATATGCCCAGCCCAGCCTCTCTCAACTTACTGCTTTTTGTGTTTCCTTCCCTCCTTCCTTTTTCTCTTGGGGCTGGATGAACTAAATAAGAAACAGATTGATTACTTGGCTGCCGTCTCTCAGAGGCCCCTAGAACAGGCAAATCTGACCAAACATAATTCAGCTTATTCCTTGAGCCATTGTCAAGAAATCAGAAGTCCAGGCAGTTCAACTGAATCCAGGTTTATTGTATGTTAATACTCTCTATAGGTAGTCCTATAGAAAACCCTCAAGCTCAGAGAGCACCAAGGATCCCATAGTCATTCTCCTCCTCCTCCTCCTCCTCCTCCTCCTCCTCCCCCTCCCCCCTCCCCCTCCTCCTCCTCCTCCTCTTCAAACTCCAATCCTTTCTAGCACTGATGATGTTCTCTAGTTGGGTAATGAAATGTCTGCAAGGGAACAACCCAGCTCAGGGGGCACCAAGGACTCCTCATTTCAAACATTCTCCTTTTAAAAAAAGGATATTTCAATATTCTCGGTTAATTAAGAAATGGTTCTATCGTATCGAAAAATTTTAATAGGGGGGCTTAGCTGTAAGGGTCTCTGTAACATATTCATCCTGGCAAACAGTTGCTCTGAATGAGGACTGGATAACTGTCATTTATTTTGCAATTCTAGGTTTATATTGCTGAGGCAGGGATTAAAGCCATTTCTTTCCTTACCTGTGTCTTTTCTTCTTTGAAGATATCCTGCAAAATACACACACACACAAATACATTTAAACACATTGCAAACTGGGGAGAGGGAATCAAGCCCAGGAAGATTTCGAGAGTCAGCGAATATTTTGATCAAAACAGGTTTGAAATAAGAGTAAAGAAGATGCTATTTCAAAAACCACAGAACTGCAGGTCAGGGTGGAACATCTGCATGAAATCCCTCCCCTGCTAAAAATAAGATTTTCAAAAAATAAAAAGCAGAAGCAGACATGTCCCAGGCCAGGGATACAAGTGGTCCTTAGCTTACGAGCAGGATGGGCACCAGAATTTCTGCTGTGGTCCTAAGTCAAGGACTACATGTATAAATGTGAAAATAAAATAAAATAAAAATAACCAACAGGAAAAAGGGTCATTGCATTTTTGGATAGAATAGAGCTGGAAGGAACCTTGGAGGTCTTCTAGTCCAGCCCCCTGTTCAAGCAGGAGAACCTATGCCATCTCAGCCAGGTGAATGTCCAGTCTCTTTTTAAAAATCTCCAGTGATGGAGCGCCCACGATTTCTGGGGGAGAAAGCTGTTGTATTTTCTATCTGCATGCAAAGAACTTGAGAAATCAACTGTCTTTTGCCTCTGGAATACCCCATCTGCCTTTCATTGCTGCCTTTCTAACATCAGAACCCACAAATCATGTTCAACGAAATAGATCCCAATGGATCTATTCCAGGAAAAATAACATCCAGTGGGAAAAAAATGCGTACCTGTTTCTTTTCCTTTTCTTTGAACTCTTCTTTTTCTTCTTCTTCTTTGGAGGAGAAACACTGTAAGAGGGAGATCTAGGAAGAAATTAAAAGAAGTTAGGTTGATTCGACTAAGCCTGCCAGAGGAATCTGCCGTTTGAAGTAGGAGAAAAGAATCTATTTAGTCTTCTTTTTTTTTCTTGTTAGAGTGTATTGTATGTTAAAATACACACACAACAAAAATTAAGAAGGAAGGAAGGAAGGAAGGAAGGAAGGAAGGAAGGAAGGAAGGAAGGAAGGAAGGAGAGAGGGAGGGAGGGAAGGAAGGAAGGAAGGAAGGAAGGAAGGAAGGAAGGAGAGGAGGGAGGGAGGGAGGAAGGAGGGAAGGAAGGAGAGAGGGAGGGAGGGAGGGAGGGAAGGAGGGAAGGGAGGGAGGGAAGGAAGGAAGGAAGGAAGGAAGGAGAGAGGGAGGGAGGGAGGGAGGGAGGGAGGGAGGGAAGGGAGGGAGGGAGGGAAGGAAGGAAGGAAGGAAGGAAGGAGAGAGGGAGGGAGGGAGGGAAGGAGGGAAGGAAGGAAGGGAGGGAGGGAGGGAAGGAAGGAAGGAAGGGAGGGAGGGAGGGGTCTTTAAGAGCCTGGACATCCCCTTCCAGCTCTGTTCTGATTGATTGATTGAAACATCTTCAAGGAAAAACAAAGGAAGTCCAATTGCTTTTGAAAAAGCACCTTTGGGTCAGGGCTGAGTTCTTTTAGGACTTTGTCTATTTGGGACTATGGATCAATGGTCCTTCACTTACCTCCTTCTTTTCTTCCTTGCTGATTTTTTCTTCTTTTTCTTTCCCTTGGATGGAGGTGGGGAAGATTCAGCATCCCAAGATGGACTTTGGGGGCAAAGAAAATAATAATAATATTGGCATTGACAAATTCGCCATCGGTCAATTGCAAAAGGCGGCCTTACTAGGAATTGCTTCCATCCTGCGACAATATCTGTACCATCAAACATCCACATCTGCCTATCCCAGGTCCTTGGGAAGGACTCGATAGGTAGACAAAAATGCCAAATCCAGTCTGAACACCTGTCTGTGTGATGATCAATTATTAATAATAATAGTAGTAGTAGTAATAGTGGTAGTAATAATAATAATGATGATGATATTTCTAGGTGTTATCTATCCCCATTTGCCATTGCTTGGACAATTCTCCACATCTGGAGGCCTTTTTGTGGCATAACACAGGCAAACATTTAATTGCCACGTTCTGGGTAATTTAGTCATGCCTGAAATTAAGTGTCTCTTGGAAGGATAAATTGCAGATATAATGAGGAAGTTACTGTATGTTAGCTCACTTACCACTAAGTTATCAAAGACACATTTGTTGAGGTTAACAACTCCGTAATAGATTTCTGCATTTGGCTTACTTTCACTAAGTATGTTTTTAAAATAAATTAGTCGCCATTCGATTTGGATTGGGTGGGGGTGCTTAGCAGGATGGCCGTTTAAGATTTTTTAAAAAAATAAATCAATCTCAAAAATGTATATTTAAGAGCTGTTGATGATTAAAAGCAGCGTATTCAATGGAAATTCATTAACAGGAATCCCATTCCTTTTCCAGGGCTGTGTCTCTCTCTGTGTGTGTCTGTGCGGGTGGTGTGCAGATTATGAGAACTGTGTATGGGTCACTTACAACCTCAACTTGCAGCCATTTGTTAAGCAATCACTCCAAGTTACAATGGCATTGAAAAAGTGATTTCTAACCCGTCCTCACACTTACGACCATCCAAGCAGCCTGAGGATCACATGAACAAAAATGGACATATCTGCTTGGGGCATAAAAAAGGACAGCCCCGAGCAGGCTTGTGGGACTGGTGTTAAGTGGGATGATCGAAGATCACTCAGGTAAATGCACCTGTCCCCCTTGGCAAGCCTCCCGGGAGACATTTTGTGAGCGCGCCCTCAATACCTAAGGTGATTATCAACTCAGCTGTCTCCCTTACTCAAGGCACGGCGTAAAGATAGACGGAGCCGGAAAGCTGGAGGTGCTATCAGATGCATCAAGGTAAAAACTCATCTTTTCATTATTATTATTTTTTTCCAGAGGACAATTTCATGGGCTTTTGAAGTCTCCGGGAGCTGATCGGACTCTGATTCTTTCTGAAGGCTCTTGAAGACCGTTTGAAAGGGGGGGGGGAAGCATCTCCTTGGCCTCAAAGACAGAGATTTGAAGCAGAAGGCATCTGCTCTGTTCTCTCTCTCTTTCGCTTCCCCCCCTCCTGCTAGCCGATAACGAATAAATGGAATATCTCCTTAATTCTGGGACCCTTTAAATCGCCTCCTTGATTTCCCTGGCTTGAAAGCGAAGAAGGGGAAAAGATAGATGGAGGAAATGGAAGGAGGATGAAAAGAGAGTGGTGATGGACTTGCCAAGGTCTTTTTTTTTTTTAAATCATACTTTCCATATGAGAAAGATTTGGTCTCCAGGAGATTAAAAAAAAGAGAGCGAACCCAAAATTGATCTTTCCCCACTGTCTTTCCATGATTGCTAGGTCTTAGAGAGACTCGTGTTTTTTTTTTACAGCTGTCAGATCTAACCATCATGGGTTGAGGGTCAAGAAAGTTGAGATGTCCACTGTGACCCCGGGATCAAAGCCCCACCGGAGTCACGGTGGCCATATTGATCTTTTGACCCTCCCTGCTAGCTGCCTGCTGCATATTCTTTGCGCAATGCTGGCTTGTGTCATCATCAAGCTGTCTTGAATAAAAGACCAGCCCTCTGAAAAAGGATCGTTTCCCTTGCTGTCTGAAAAGCTGAAAATCAAAACGGACTGACCGAACTAGTATTATACAACAGTAGTGGGAAAAGGGGACTTACAACTCGTGCTTCCAACCAACGCCAGCATCCCCATCATCGGGATCAAAATTCAAACCTTTCTGAGCAGGCAAAGTCAATGAGGGTAGTCGCTTAACAACCATGTGATTCGCTTAGCATCCATGGTCATAAACCTCACTTGACCTCCTGGCTTAACAGCAGAAATCTGAATCTCAGTTGTGGCTGTAAGTCAAGGACCACCTACAGTATACAAACTGGACTTAGGAAATGCAAGTTGCAGGGACTGGGGATGTCTAGCTTAATGAAAAGAAGGACTGGGATGATGATAGCAGTGTTCCAGTATTTGAGGGGCTGCCACAAAGAAGAGTGGGGTCAACCTATTCTCCAAAACACCTGAAGGCAGGGCAAGAAGCAACGGACGGAAACTAATCAAGGAGTGAAGCAACCTGGAATTAAGGAGAAACGTTGTTACAGTGGGGATGATTAACCAGTGGAACTGCTTGCCACCAGAGGTTGCGGGGGCTTCATCACAGGAGGTTTTTAGGAAGAGATTGGACAGACTTTAGTCTGAAATGGTATAGGATCTCCTGCTTGAGCAGGGGGTTGGACTAGAAGACCTCCAAGGTCCCTTCCAGCTTTATTCTGATTGACTGTTTGGTAGGACTGTCTATCCATTGCAGTCCTCGGTTTAAATGCTGAGAATTGAGCAGGGGACTCAAGAGATTTGGGTTAGACCTGAGCATCAGCTCTCACCTGTGTGATTTTTGTGTGTAGTCTTCCAGGCTGTTCTTCTGCCTCTCACAACCGTTGACATTGCGGGTTTCTCCAGCTGGGTGTGATTCTCCGGAAGGGGTGACTTCTGTTGGAAGAGGCAGGCAACTGCGGACATCAGTGCTAAAATAGAAAGATGGAGAATAACTTCTTCAGAATATGTTCTCAGGTGGGCTAAGCTATCTCTTATCTAACTGGTCCCTAGACAGCCTCTCTTCCCCCAGCCACCAAAGTCATTCTCACATACCACTATACTGTCTTTCAGCCTTCGCAGCCTGGGAGAATTGTAAATAGTGCTCTTTTCCTTTCCAATTTTGCTGTGTTGTTTTGGCATCTGTAGCGCGTGTGCGCGCACACACACACACACATAGCCACAGAGGGACCCACACCGCTCCTTGACCTTTGGCGCTAATGATGCAATCATCATAAATTAAAGAATAAATGAATCGCAATGAATTAAAGGATAATGACCTGCCCTTTACACACACACACACAAACACAGAGAGTCATCTGCCTGCAGGAGTGGCTTGCTCTGTGTAATGGTAGGACTGGGACTGCTGCAAGCGGGTGGAAATTGCAACTTTGCAATTCTTCCCCCATAGCTATGGGGTCAGGAGGCAGCACCTTTCCAAATATTGCCTCTGAATTATTAAAGTGAAATTGCTAGAACCAGGGGAAGGCGCTTTCCTGCTGCGCGGAATTAGTTCTTGCTTCCCATCACATTTAAAAAGTGAAACAAAATCATGTCAAACTTAACATTTTGCCCGGCCCCAAATCCTCTCTTTCTTTCTTTCTTTCTTTCTTTCTTTCTTTCTTTCTTTCTTTCTTTCTTTCTTTCTTTCTTTCTTTCTTTCTTTTTTTTGAGTGTAGCACTCACGGTATGGATTCATCTCCTTGAGCAGGAACAGACAATGATAGGGAAGGACCAGAGAAGCTGGTTAATGGGTCACAAATCCCCTTTTGCAGGTAGTTCGTAAATTTGAATGGTCGCTAAGAATTTGGTCATAAATTGAGGACTACCTGTATAGGATTTGGATTTTGATGCATCTGCACGGGGTTCCAGAACTCAAGCTGGGGGTCATGACTCTGTCCTCCTTTTTATGTGGATCAATGTAGTATACATCTACAAAGAGCTAAATGGCCGGTCATAACTGGAAGACTAGCTATAGAAAGCCAATGAATGATTGGAGAACTCTGGACATCACAAAAGCATGACTCAAATACTAACAGTAAAGGTGGATTTTGGACTTTTGCTGTATCAAAATTGACCTGTCTGCCTTCCTTCCACAGGCAATCCACATTTTGTGGTTATAACTTCAGGGGCCTGCTCGTGGTTTGTGGACCACTTAGAAAACTTTCTCAAAATACGCCATGGCGCTGAGCAAATAAAATCAGTTAGTTGAGCATATTCCCCAGGTTTCCATCAAAAGGCTTCAATCTGCCTCATATCCTGGTATGGAAGAAATGGGCCCCAGCCTTTGATTAAGCTTCCTGCAGGGAGCTTTCTGATAATCCTTTCCTTTAAGATTAGAATAAGGATGGCTGGTCTGCTGCAGAGGCTTTTCTATGGCAGAAACGATAGTCTGCAAGAGAAAGGAAGGGAGGGAAGGAGGGAGGGAGGGAGGGAGGGAGAAAAGATGGAAGGAGGTGAGGAGGAAGAAGAAGGAAGGAAGGATATGAAGATGGATGGAGGAGGGAAGGGAGAAAGGAAGGAAGGAAGGAGATGGAGGAGAATGAGTGAGAAACTGAGTGAGTGAATGAATAAGGGAGGGAGGGAGGGAGGGAGAGGAAGGAGATGAGAGAGAGAGAGATTAAGGAAGGATATGAAGAAGTGTGGAGAAGGGGAGGGAGGGAGGGAGGAGGAAGATGAAGGAGGGAAGAAGGAAGGAAGATAAAGGTGGGATAGGGAGGGAGGGATGGAAAGAAGGAAGGGAGGGAGGGAGGGAAGGAGAAGGAGGGTGGAAGAGGAGAGTGAGTGAGAGAATGAGTGAATGAATGAATGAATGGGGAAGGAAGAAAGAAAGGAGAGATGAAGGAGGGCAGTGGAAGGGAGGAAAACATCCATCAAAAGACTCACCCAAAGGATTACAGTACAAGCATCTACAGTTCAATGAAAATGTACAGCACTGAAATCAAGGTAGCTTGGAGTGGCTTGGAGATCATTTATTTCCATTAAAATTGGTCCCAAGGCAAGGATAAAAATCCAGAGATGGTCACGGCGCTGCAGTGCTGCCTTACTCCAAGAGCAGGTATGAATTAGCTCCAGTAGCACAAATGACACTAAAGAAATCTTAAAAACTACAGCCTGAGTTGCTGGTTGATTTTATTTTAACTTTGCGTCTTTGTACAAACCCAATCAATGTTTGCACTTGAAGGCAGACCAGACGAAGAAAGAAAAGTTATAAAAGTTAATGTACTACTTTTATTATAGGGCTGCAGCAACATGATCTTGCAAGTCTGAAGGCAATCTGACTTATCCTCTCCTTCTTTTCATCTTCACGAGAGCAAGGTAGGATTAAATCTGAGATCTTTCCACAAATTGCATTTCTGCTTTAGATTTATCTGACTTCGGTTTTGGTTCTGCCTTTTGCTCCTGTTTCTCAAGAATATCCATCAACTGCCATTTCCTTTGAGGCTTGGCACGTAGGGCGAACTCAGAAAATTATGACTTATTGAATAAACTAGGATTCAACAAGCCATGTCTTTGAGCGATATGAGAATCTAGCCAGTATGTTCCTTCGTATGCTGCTAAAACTCATAAGATCATGAGCAAAACTATCAATTTTAGAAAGCTGAACGACAAAAAGAGATCTGAGTATTTTTAGAGGATGCCCGTAATGACAGCTCAGTCTACAGTTGCAAGCTACGCTCCACAGTACTTTAACCTAAAGATAACCAGAGACTCCTGAGTTAATCCAATTTTCTGGATCTTCCTATCCCAGTGAACAGCTGGACTAGCTACACATTAAGTTTATGGGGACAGCTTACGAAATGGGATGTGTAGATCAGGCATAATTTTTATTCAACATTGTATCCTAGGAATCAATTTAGGAAGCAAGACTCCAAAAAACTTCAACCAGGCATGTCAATTACAAGTGTCAATTTCTTTCTTTCTCTCTCTCTCTCTCTCTCCCTCTCCCTCTCTCTGTTTCTCTGTCTCTGTCTCTCCATCTCCCTGTCTCTTTCCCCCTCTCTCTGTGTGTCTCTCTGTCTTTCCATTTGTCTGTCTCTGTCACTCTGTCTGTCTGTTTCTCTCTGTGTCTCACTCTCTCTTTCCATCTCCCTCTCTCTGTCTCTCTCTTTCTCTTTCTCTGTCTCTCCATTTGTCTGTCTCTGTCACTCTGTCTGTTTCTCTCTCTCTCTCTCTCTCTCTCTCTCTCTCTCTCTTTTTTTTTTTTTCCTCTGTCTCTGTCTCTCTGTGTCTGTCTCACTCTCTTTCCATCTTCCTCTCTCTGTCTCTCTCTGTTTCTCTGTCTCTGTCTCTCCATCTCCCTGACTCTTTCTCTCTGTGTCTGTCTCTTTCTCTATCTTTCCATTTGTCTGTCTCTGTTGCCCTGGCTCTGTCTGTCTGTCTGTCTGTCTGTCTGTCTGTCTGTCTGTCTCTCTCTCTCTCTCAATCTCAATCTCAATCTCTCTCTCTCTCAATCTCTCTTTCCATCTCCCTCTCTCTGTTTCACTGTCTCCCTGTCTCTTTCTCTGTCTCTCCATTTGGCTGTCTCTATTGCCCTGTCTCTGTTTCTCTCTCTCTGTTTCTCTGTCTCTGTCATCCCCTTTCCCAACCTTCTGACAAGCAAAGTCAATGAGGGGGGGAAGTCCGATTCATCAACAGCCCTGTTATTAACAACTGCGGTGTTTACTTAACAATGAGGGCAAGAAAGATCATAACATGTGGCAAAACCCAATCACAATTTCTGCTTAGTAGCAGAAACGTCGGGCTCAATTTTGGGGGCGTTGCAAGAGATGGAGAAGCTTAGAAGTTTCGAAGCCGGATTTCATTGGGCTTAGATCTCCCCCACCCCTTTGCCCATCTCTTGTCATGTCCAAATGCAGGAACCGAAAACAGCAAACGGTGCCATTGGAAACAGGCTGTCTTCTCCTAAGCTGAGCCAAAAAAATAAATAAATTATAATTTGCCGGTTTTATTAAATCCTGTAATATTAGGCAAGCAGTGGAGTGTGGCGTTAGCCGCCCGGCCAAATGGTGCGATCAAGGCCTCTCTGTCCTCCTAATCTATTCTGCGTAATGGACGCAGTTTCTCACTTCCACAAAGCTGTTTTAATTCATGCCTCCTCTTTGAGGCATGCGGCCCAGCTGGACCTCCATATGGATTAGCAGCTTGGGAAAAGGTTTTCCACGTTGGAGTCAATGAGACGATGCTTCGAAAGAGGGGTTTTTGTTGTTGTTGTTGTTGTTGCTGTTGTTTGCAATGGTAAGTCAGTAACCGTGTTACTGACTTAACAACCGCAGCGATTCAACCGTAGAAACCTTAAGAAAATGGAGCAAAACTCACTTAACAATTGTTAAGCTTAGCAATGGAAATTCGGAGTCCAACTGTCCTTGTAAGTCAAGGGCCACCTGTACAAGTGCAAGGTAGATGGAGTGGAGGCACTTCCCAAGCTCACAACTCTGAGCTGACCATGGTCCTGATTGCCAGTTGTTTCTTCATCTTCTGAATGGGAAGATGAAGAAACAACTGTTCTATGTTTGGCGGCCTAGCCAAACATAGAACAGCCCCAAATTCATCCTTTCTAAGGACAGAGGACATCCGGGGGATGGTATAAATACGTGTCAGTTACTAAGCATCTGAAATTTGATCGTGTGGCCTTGGGGATGGCTGCGGTGGTTGTAAGTGTGACCATCAGTCATAAGTCACGTTTTTCAGTGCTGCTCTACCTTCCCCGACTAAACAAATGGTTGTAAATCAAGGACTACTCGTAGCTAAAAATCTCCCCCTGTGAACGTAGATAGCGATTTGTAGAAAGAGGCAAGGCTTGTTTGAAATGCCTTCCCTGAACGACACTTTAAACATATGCTTTAAGTTATAATAAATCTGTAAAACTAGCAAACTGTTTGCATAACTGCCAATTAGGTATTTCCGATGGCAGGAAGCAGAGTATGATAACCCAGGGATTCTATGCAAGGTTTCCAAGACAGCATTTGGATATGTTTAAAAGGAAATTAGAATAAGAAAGGGGGGTGGAGAAATCTAAACACGTTGGCACCATTTTTACAACGTTCTAAATCATAACTGTTTGGCTTCCATTCCTTGTATCTCACAATTACAACTATGGTATCATCCACAAAATTCACGATGTTTATAATTAAAGTAATGGGCCAACTTTGGCAGACATCTTGAGACCCGTTTATAAGTCGATAAAAATAGGTGTTCGGTTTCCACAATTGGAAATATTTGCGTTTATAGGCAATCCTCACTTTATAAGCGTAATAGATTCCAGAATTTTCATCTTAAGCCACGACGGTTGTGAGTTGAGCCACCCGTGGGACCCAGCCTGATTTTATTACTTCTTTTGCAGCAGTTGTTAAATGAGCAGAGTGGTTGTTAAGTGAGTGTGGTGGTTGTTTAGGAAATCCACATCCTCCTACGGGTGTTTTTTTGCTGGAAATTACCCACAAAATGTCTTCAATTGTGATTGTGGAACACTACATGAAGGTGAACTGGTTGTGTTCAATGTGGGCCATGTGACTACAGTCTTTGTGTTCATGTCCGTGTTTGTGCAACACTTGGAACTCTGGAATGGGGTCATAAGTAGCTTTGGAGGGGGGCTTGTTGTAATTTTGAACAGTTGCTAAGTGATGGTTGTTAAGCAAGGACTGCTTGTATTTCTTTTATTCATTTATTTGCCTGTTTTCTAAATAATAACTTGGTGGAAGCCTTTGAGCTCAGCGTTACATGTCCTTGCCTGAGCAATTGTTTGATCTTAATCCAACATTTAAGCTATTACAAGGCATATTGACTTTTCTGTCCGCATAAAAAAAGGAAGAAAGAAAGGAAAGTAGATTATTGCTGAAGAGACAAGAATTCCAGCAACTAAATAACTTCATTTAAAAGCCAATACACCCCCGCGTCTACTCTAGTTGAGACTTTCTGATTTTATTTCCAAAAGCCCTCTTAAGATCAAGCAAGGAGCCACGTTCTCTGACAATGGAGAGAGTGGCTGTGGTCAATTTAATCATGCTCTCCTGATATTTGAGGGGCTGGCCCCAAAGAAAAGGGGGGTCAACCTATTCTCCAAAGCACCTGAAAGCAGGACAAGAAGCAACAGATGGAAACTGAACAAAGAGAGAAGCAACCTAGAACTAACGGCGCTGACAGTTAGCCCTCTGCAAAGGTGGTTCTAAAGCAGGGGGTGACTCCGGGATTTCAACTCCCAGAATTACCCAGCCACAGGGGAATTCTGTCTGTGGAATTCTGGGAGTTGAAGTCCACAGGTCTTCAAGTTGTCACAAGTTGGGTGCCCTCTGCTCTAGAGCAATACTGGGTGAAGGAAAAGCTGTTTCTAAAGTGAAAAGCTTATTCCCAGCTCAGGCTAAGCTGGCTGGGAAGGTGATTCAGTCCGAGAGAAATCGATTAAATGTAAATAGAGAGAAAGATTAGAAATCAGAGGCAGTGTTTTCTTAATTATAGTAGCTAATCACTGAAGGGAGGGAGCGGAGAGGAAGGACTAAGCTCATTTCCTTCCCTCTGTACGTATATTGGTGGCTTGTAATGAGATGTCTGTCAGTAGTAATTCACTTGGGGACTTTGTCAGAAGCTAAGAAATGTAATAACAATAATAACTCCCAATCAAGGCTGGGTCTAGTAGGGACGTGGTCTATCTAACTTGGTTCCCACTGGAAAAAGGAGGAGGAGGGGGAGGAGGAAGGGAGGAAGGGAATTAAACACACATACACAAACAATGAGAGGCTACCGTAGCTTACAAAGTCCCTGTAGTTTTAATTGTGCAACCAGACAAGAACCACACTCACAGACAAAACAGGATGAAATGTCTAAGCTAATCTTTTAGCTGGTTAAATGAGGTTACTTCGGGAAGAAAGTCACAAAGGAAGCGGCTTGAAATGCAATCAGCATCAACTTGCCTGAGATATAAATGACTTGAAATGGGATCCAGTTCTAGGATAGCCATTTGTCTGAAATGGTATAGGGTCTCCTGCTTGAGCAGGAGGTTGGACTAGAAGACCTCCAAGGTCCCTTCCAACTCTGTTACTCTACTCTACTCTACTCTACTCTACTCTACTCTACTCTACTCTACTCTACTCTACTCTACTCTACTCTACTCTACTCTCTCTACTCTACTCTACTCTACTCTACTTGAGCAGGGGTTGGACTAGAAAACCACCGAGATCCCTTCAGATTCTATTATTCTGTTACAAACTTTTTGCGTGTAACCATAGGGTTGTGTTTGCACAACAGCCTAGTGTTCCTTGCACAGAATCCTTAACTGGATCAGGGCAGGGCAGTTAGCCACCACCAGTTTCAAACTTGCTTGG